TGCACATGATCATTGTAAAAATGAGTTAAGAAGATGGTTCCAAAAATGAATGAACAAATGTTTACTAGCTATATATACTGACAAATTTAATATAAGTACAATATAATAATAACATCCTACTATCAAGGATTTAAAGAAAAATTTACTTGAAAAATTGAATCTGAACTTAAATTTATTGATTGATTGATTCCAAAAGTGGAACCATATATAAATATTCATGATATTGATGCACATGTTTAATATTTGAGATTAAAAGATAATTTTGTAAAATAAAGGTAAAGTGTGGATTTAAAAATCTAAGAAATTGTTGTTAATTTACCTTAACAATTATTAATAAGTGATATAGAGAATTAAAACTTGAAAATAATAAATATTGAAAAGTTCTTTAGTCAATCACATTAATTAGAATAAACTGCAATGAAATTACAGGAAAGAAAATTTCTCCAGATGTTGAATCTATTAAATAATAATTACATTCAGATATAATATTTGAAAAAGATGTTATTTGTCTTTTGGAATCTATGCAATATATACATTTTGGAAATTTGTAGATGATTATTGAAGATTTTAATGAAATAGATTAGAAAAATAATATTAGCTCTTTATAGTAATTGATAGAAGTAGTAATAGAGAGTTCAAAAAGAATTGAATTAATTTAAAGTGATTAATTACAAGAAATAAAATAAGTATAAGTATAAGGATTTAAATGGATATTAAATTTATTTAAATAATATGACTAATATAGAAAAGTATTTATTCTTAAATATCAAGAACTTAATTGAATTAATTTTCCAAATATAGGAAGAATAAATCGAATATTCAAGAACAATTTAAATATCAAATTATGAAAAATTTATAATAATAAATAGATTTAGTCATTTATTCTTTATTTAAATTAATATCCTCGAAAGTATTAACATTTGACATAAATAAAGAATGAATTGATAAAAGTCATATTAAGTTCATTTAAAATTTTTATAAGGAAAGTGATTGAAAAGATTGATGTTATAGGAGGAGAGAAACCATTAAATTTTCTTTAATTTGATTTGGATAATACAGAAAAAATATTGAAATTTAATCAGAACAAAATCAGTCAAATTTAGCTATGGCTATATTATTATTTTAAGGTTATAAAAAGATTAAAAATGCAAATTTTCAATTTTCATCTTCAAATTAATAGTAGGAATAGTAGGATTAAAAACAAAAATAATTAATGGAAATTTAAACCAAAATGTTCGAAATAATTCATAGATTAAAAGATTAATTAGAGATGCTTCTTTGTGAAATTAAGTTTGCCTATCTTAGATGAGTTGAAACATTTACAGATGAAGAATTAGATAGGATAGTTTTTACAGAATTATAAGAGGAATGGGTCTTAGATTATATGGAAAAAGGATAAGATCTTTCATTTTTAGCAGATTTATAAAATTATACAGGTATCTTTGATACAGTATTATTAAATTAAAGTTTGATATTTATCAATCTGAATCAGATTTTGAAGTAAAAAATATATATATTAAATTTAGAACATAAAATGAAATAGATGTTAAATAATTAAGAAGTAATCTTTTTTAGGTAATTAAACATTAAACATGAACAGATTAAAAAACTGAAATTTTTTAATATATTCAACAAAAGCATCATTTTTAACACATCTCAAATGCTACTTCTTCGATTAGAAAATCAAATAAAAGATCAGACAAATCAATTGAGATTTCAGTAGTTTCTTCATCATAATTAGTCCATCTATCCTCATTATCTATAACCTGTAATTTAAATTAAAATCATACATCTAAAGTTAACATTCTATAGAGTCTATCTTCTCTTATTTAAGCTATAGTTTCTTAATCTAATTACATAGTTTTAGGAAATGGAGAGTCTTCTTTATCTACTAAGATTCCTGCCATATAATGACTCCAATCAATAACTTTTTCTGCTGCTTTCCTAATAATTCCAGGTATATCTGTCAATTAATTTTCTCTTGGTTTTAACCTAGTTGGATCAGATTTCCATAAAAATGGTTATCCATTTAAACCATATGGTCTAAATTGATCTAATGCTTCATTTAAAGAATCAAAGATAGCTTTATTATGTATATGTTCTAATTCTACAATCAGTTTATTTTGATGATTAATTAATCTTTATTCCATTAGAAATCTCTCAAATTTTCCAAACAATTCTACACTTAGTATAATTTAATGTTATGTTCCACTTGAATCATATTCTGATTCTACTGATTCTCTTATTGGTTAAAGAAACTTAAGCATCAATTTAGATGATGGTCCTAATGGAATATTTATTACTCTCTAAATTTAAATCATAACATTATCTAAAAGTATGTATAATGATTTTTATACCTATTAAATAATCTTCCAAATATTTAAGATATGTTTTTATTTGTGCAACATTCGTTTTTAATCCCTAAATTTTATTTTCTTTTGGCTAAGCAATCTAATTCTAATTTCTACGATTTAATTATGAACTACTTAATATTTCGTACAAATCAATCCCATTTCTTTACATTTCTATATAGAAAGTATTTACCTCCTCTTATATTAACATGTTCGAAATCAAAATTGAATATGAATCGGCACATTTCTCCGATATCTTCTATAGTTCTTTTGGCTATTCAATATTTCTTATAAATTAAGATTAGGCTAACTTTTTTAGATTAAAAGGCTCAGGACAAATTAATTCCTTTTCCTCTAATATATTGTTGCTTTATCTCTAAATTGTTATTATATCTTCATAAATCTTAGTCTTATCTTCTTATTAAGATTATAACATCTAAGAATTTGATATTTATATATCTATTATTGAGCTTTTTAGGGAATTTTCAGAATAGTTTGCAGATTCTTAACTTAATGAATCAATTATTTTTATAAATGTTTATGAATTTTATGAAGATAACATTTATCTTACAAATTATAAATCTCTTTATGTTTTTACTATAGCTTCAAAAACACTTTATTATCCCTTTAATATCTCTCTCTTTTTTTATTCTAAATCTGTTTTTTATTTATTAACCCATTTCTCTATTTTTTTTTATTAAAATTCAAATGTTCTAGGTGATATTTGATTATTTTAAAATGCTTTATCAATTTATTTTAAAGTTTATTATTATCTTTATTATACTGCTTCTTCTCTTAAAGCTATCAATTAATCCATTTTATCTCTTTGCATAAGTTCTTTAAATTTATTCATTACAAAATCTTAAAATGATGTCTATTCGAATAATCCTTTATCTTATTAAATTGATTATTCTCCTTCTTATGACAGACTTTTTAATAATGATTCTGAACCAAAAGCACATCTAATTTCTCCAATGTCAACTTTATTTTCTTCTTCTTACTCTTCTACATCAATTGATAATTTACTTATTTTTCTTGATTTTTAATTGCCTAATGATAATGATTGTATTTGTTCATCTTATGAATTTTAATATGATTTCTTTTTTTTTTCAGGAGTATACTCAGATAGTATTTGCAATTAAATATCTTTAAATTTATTTGATATCTAATTCTATTAATTACATATATTTGGTTAACAATCTATGTCGTCCTAAAAGTTTTCTATAAATTTTTAGTATTAATTTTATTCTATTAACTTTTTTGCTTCTTTTTAATTATCGAGCTAAGAGTTAGGTCTTGAATGACTTAAAAAACTAGATTCATCTATTATTTACGAATTATCTATTGAATCTTTTTTGAGAAATCCAAATTTTATTAATTTATTAATTTAAGATTTTGTTAAACTTTTTAAATTCAAACCGTCCTTAGTTTTATAGTTTTTCTTTTATTAAAATTTAGATTTAAATATCATTTATCTAACCTTATAACCTTTCCAAATTTTTTAAATAATTAATGCAGCTTAATTTTCAACATTGAATATATTCTAAGGTAAAGTAATCTTTCTATTATTTTCTTTTTTAAAATAATTTTCATCATCCTCAATTACAGGAATTGAACATTTTCTCAATTAAAATATATTTGTATTTAATTCTTTGATTTTAACTTCTTCCCCTTCTTCTGGATGAGTATCTAGCATATTTTTTTAACTATAAAAACTATCATCTAAATCTTAGATATTTTATTCTCCATCACTTTCATTAGGAATATTATTACTACTCGAATTACTCATTAATTTATAAAGAGATGATTGCGGTTTCGATTCATTTTTTTAAAAACTAAGTGCTTTGTTATTATTATTATTGTTATTATTATTATTATTATTATTATTAAGAAAATTATCTTCAATATTTTGATATTATATAATTATCTTTTTCTATTTCTAATTTTTTTTGAATTTTAATTTCTAAGCCGTTGCTTCAAATAATGAACTAGTCTTCTCATGGAGTGAACCTGTTCTAATTCTGTTATTTTAAATTGGTTTATGATGTTAACCTTAAGAGAAACTTCTATTTCTTCTTTATATTTTCTAAGCAGGACTTGGATAATGAATAGAACTTATTTTTAGTCGATTTGGTATAATATTCAAATTTTTAGGTTTCTTTAGTAATTATTTGTACTATTATTACAAAGTAGTTGGTATTTTTTATTTTTATTTAGATTGATTATCTTCATGAAAAGACTTTTTCTCTAGCTTAATAAATAATATTACTTTTAAAAATAGATTTTAGATTCTTTTCTGCAAATTAGTTCAAAAATGATGTACCTATTTTTTATCTTCTTTCTTTAAGGTCCACTGTTGGTCTTGTATTTCGACGTTAAATAGCATTATAATATTTCTCTTATTCAGCCAAAATGTAATTACGAAGTCTTTGCTGATTCACACCCCATGGAAATACTTATGAAATAGACTTTTTTGTTTTATGTCCACTTTTTTGTACTTCAGTTTTTAATTTTTATGGCGATTTCTTAGATTTTTTCTTTTTCTTTTTCTTAATTTTATTAGGTGTAACTATTTAACTAGGGTTCAATTTGCTAGCCATGAGAAAATCTTGTTAATCACATTCTGTATGTCCAAATTATCTGGTTTCATTAACAGTCATCCTAGGCTTTATTTGACTTTCAACCTTGCATCCAGTAATCTTGTCTAAATTAATCAATCAAATACTATTTGGGTTGCTTATTTTAGGTTTAAGCATTTAATTTATAACAACCAATATAAATATTATAAAGAATGTTTCTAAATTTTCTAAATTTAACACAATAATTTATCATGTATATTTTGAAAATGAAAAATAGTAGAAAAAGGATACTTGTAATTCAAAAAAAAGCGTATTTGAAAATTATGATAGAAAAATGAAATTCAATATATATCGATTTGAGATGTATATAAAGGTTTAAGATAATTTAGGGATTAATAGTTAGAATAGTTAGGAAATTAGATTGATGAGTTTTTATATTAAAAGTAAAATTAACGATGTTTATTAATATTAATTTGAATTTAAAATGAATACATATAGTCGATCTCCATTAGAACCAGTTACTTAAAATAAAGAATATTTTACATCATAATCTTCATCAAAGGTAATAACTAGTACAGTTAGACAATGTACTTCAGTGACCTAAAATTTAGGAGTATCTTAAATGAAAAGATCAATGTAAATAATTGTGTTTATTATAAAAAGGTCTGGAAATAACATCTATTCATCATAAATAAATAACCCTCCTCCAGCCAGATAATAGTTAGGTAAAAACCTTGATATAGTTTGTTTTTTGATGGCTTGCGAAGTAGAAAGATTTGTGGCTGAAAATGATAAACTAAAGTATAGAATAAAAGAGATGGATGATAAATTATTAGATAGAAATAGTTATGAAAAATAAATAGAAGATTTGTAAGCTAGACTAATGTAAATGTAATATTAGGAGAGTATGTACAGGTAAATTATAATTAAAATGTTTTAAGATAAGAAGTCGAAATTACAACTTCTCAATATAGTGAAGAAATAGAGAGTTGGAAAATTAGATATTTTAATAATGAGGAAAAATACAGAAATGAAAATGAGTCATTGAAATAACAACTTTTAGTTGGAAATTCAAAGTAATAAAAAGAAATAGATGATTTAAAGAGTTAATTAATAACTTAGAAATAAATGAATGTAATTGAACATGATTAATTGTATATAGGAAAATGAGTTATAGAAACTTAGAGAATAGTTATTAAATAAATAATAAGCAATAGAGTATTATTAAATAGAATTAAATTAATATGAGGNGTCTAAATTAATCAATCAAATACTATTTGGGTTGCTTATTTTAGGTTTAAGCATTTAATTTATAACAACCAATATAAATATTATAAAGAATGTTTCTAAATTTTCTAAATTTAACACAATAATTTATCATGTATATTTTGAAAATGAAAAATAGTAGAAAAAGGATACTTGTAATTCAAAAAAAAGCGTATTTGAAAATTATGATAGAAAAATGAAATTCAATATATATCGATTTGAGATGTATATAAAGGTTTAAGATAATTTAGGGATTAATAGTTAGAATAGTTAGGAAATTAGATTGATGAGTTTTTATATTAAAAGTAAAATTAACGATGTTTATTAATATTAATTTGAATTTAAAATGAATACATATAGTCGATCTCCATTAGAACCAGTTACTTAAAATAAAGAATATTTTACATCATAATCTTCATCAAAGGTAATAACTAGTACAGTTAGACAATGTACTTCAGTGACCTAAAATTTAGGAGTATCTTAAATGAAAAGATCAATGTAAATAATTGTGTTTATTATAAAAAGGTCTGGAAATAACATCTATTCATCATAAATAAATAACCCTCCTCCAGCCAGATAATAGTTAGGTAAAAACCTTGATATAGTTTGTTTTTTGATGGCTTGCGAAGTAGAAAGATTTGTGGCTGAAAATGATAAACTAAAGTATAGAATAAAAGAGATGGATGATAAATTATTAGATAGAAATAGTTATGAAAAATAAATAGAAGATTTGTAAGCTAGACTAATGTAAATGTAATATTAGGAGAGTATGTACAGGTAAATTATAATTAAAATGTTTTAAGATAAGAAGTCGAAATTACAACTTCTCAATATAGTGAAGAAATAGAGAGTTGGAAAATTAGATATTTTAATAATGAGGAAAAATACAGAAATGAAAATGAGTCATTGAAATAACAACTTTTAGTTGGAAATTCAAAGTAATAAAAAGAAATAGATGATTTAAAGAGTTAATTAATAACTTAGAAATAAATGAATGTAATTGAACATGATTAATTGTATATAGGAAAATGAGTTATAGAAACTTAGAGAATAGTTATTAAATAAATAATAAGCAATAGAGTATTATTAAATAGAATTAAATTAATATGAGGCTGAATTTTAATAATACAAGTAATAAGGAGAGAAGATAGTTTAATTAGAAAATAAAATTGGGATGCTTGTTTGTGAGACTGAAAGATTAAATAATTTATTGAAATAAAAGTTAGAAGAATTGGAAATGAATAAAGCTAGATATAATAATATGAGTTAAGAATCTGAGAAATGGAGAACTGAATTAAGATCATTGTAAAATTAATTTGATAAAAAATAAAAAGATTATGATTAACTTAATTAAGCATATGTTATGACTTAAAATGAATTAATAAAATATAAGGATTAAGATTAAATCATAGATTAAATGTAAAATAAAATAGTTCTTTTGTAAGGAGAGATTGATAGATTAAATTAAGTATTAAGAGAGAAGATAAAGTAAGGGGAAGAATGGAGATAAAAATATTTTGATTCAGATAATTAATGCAAAGAAATGAAATAGAAATTAACAAAATTAGATTCATTGTAAATGTAATTAAAAGATTAAGTTGATATGTTTTAATAATTGAGCAATAATTTAGAAGATTAAAAAATGAAAAATTATTAATTACAATAAACTAATCATAATTTAGAATAGAGTAATAATGATCTAATTAACAGAATTGAATTATTAACATCTGAAATAGAAAGGTTAAATAATATTTTAAGATAAAAGATTCATGAATTAGAAGAATGGAAATAGAAAGGTTAACATTATGAATAAGAATTCAAAAATAAATCTATATAATATAATGATATTAAAAATAAATTAAGTTGTTTAACTTAAGAAATTGATAGATTATAAGAATAATTAAGATAGAAATAGTTGGAGTTATAAAATTTATAAGTAAATCAAAATTAATTACAAAAAGAGATGAATAATCTAGAATAAATTAATTAATCTTTGTAGAAATAGATAGAGGAATGGAAAAGAAAATACACTAATTTAGAATATGATTTATAAGAATCATTAATGAAGAATAAGAAATTAGTTGAATATGAAAATACTATTGCTATGATATCATAAGAATTAGAAAGATAAAAAATGTTATTTTAATAGAAATCATAAGAATTTGATGATTAAAGAAGATAGATGATGAATGATATATAAAAATTGAAATAAAGTATGGGATTGAAATCAACAGAAGCAGAAGAATGGATGTCTAAATATAGAAAATTAGAATAGGCTTATTCGGAATTAAGTTAAACTAATAGAATCGTTGAAGATAAGTGGAAATAATCATTAATAAGAATTATTTTGCATTGTTCTGAAATTGATAGATTAACATAAGTCTAAGCAGAAATATTTGATGAGAATGAATAATTGACAAATCAAATTTCTCATTATTAAAGTTAATTAAAAATTAAAGACGATTAGCTTTATAAAGCTTTAGATAGAAATAATCTTTTATAAAAATTATAAGATGAAGAAAAAAGTAAAAGACTTAGTTTAGAAAATTAATTAGCCAGTTTAAAAATGTTCTAAGAAAATTGTTAAATCTTAGAATCAAAAATAATGAGTTTGACTACAGAAAATTAAAGACTTAATGAATAATTAAGATTGAGAAATGGAGAGATTGAAGATTATAGAACATAAATTTAAAGATATGAGAACAAAATATAAATTAGTAATCAGGAATTAGAGAGAGTGAATTAATAATTAAGAAAAGCTTTTTCTGAATCCGATGAAATAAGAAAAGAAAAAGAGAGATTAGAATCATAGTATAATCTACTTCAAAGATAATATGATGAACTAAAATAGAAATATAATTCTATAGAGTTATATAAAACAAAATATATAGAATTAGAGAATAGATGTGCAATGTTATCTACTGAAATTGAAAGATTAAATTAATTACTAATGAATAGATAGGATGAAATTGATCAATTAAAAAAGAAATGTTATTAATTAGAATAATAAATTATTTAGTTAAAATAATATGAAGAAAATGTAAATTATTTTTATAATAATTTTTAGATAAGAGTTTTATCAAATGAAATTGATAGATTGTAAGGAATTATTGATGTAAATGAAGCAGAACTAAAATAATGGAGACTTTTATATGCTGATGGTGGAGCTTAAACAAGAAAAATCTAGGACCTCTTATTTCATTTTGTGGTAATTTTTTATATCAAAAATTAGATGTAATCAGCAGAAATAGAAAGTCTGAGAGCCAGAGTACAAGAGAAAGAAAAAGAAGTTGAAGAGGTCAGAAGAAGTAGTTTAGCACCGTATAGAAGATGATGACTAATTAAATATTTATGTAAATTTAAAACAAATAAAACTTCATCTAAGACATGCTATCAATACCATTAAAATATGTGCAAATAAGTACACTATGTCAATGTAAATAATCATTGATCCAATTATATAATCATCAATAGATAATTTATGAGTCTATAATATGAAATATTGATATTTATTACACTTCCACCTAAAATTAATTATGTATCATATATTAAATATGCTCCAAATAGGAGACAACAAATTAAAGAGTAAATAAGGTTAATTACATTTTAGTAATAAATTCCAGCCATAATTCCAAATAACAACAAAGAAGTAGTACACATAAACAATAATGCTCCTTTTGTAGTGAAATCTGATTTTGTCTTACAAGCATAAAAAGTTAATCCTATAACTCCTGCTAAAGACAAGCTAGCGGCCATCAATACAATAAAACCTTTAATAATGAAATCACATTACCACCATTCTAACTATATTTGTCAAATACATAACTGCATAAATTCGAAATCAGATACCCTTCGCAAATTGTGAATATCAATAACAGTATATAATTATAAGGAACTCTCCAAGCAAATTTTGGTATACAAAAGAGAACCAATTCAATAAAGATTGCAATTCCTAAAGCCAAATATGCATAACCACTGTATTATAATTAGAACATTCTATATTCAATTGATACATATGATATTACGCACATTAACACAGTTATAAGTAATTAAATTATCATGATTGAATAGACCTTTTAGTTTAAATTTTTTTACTTTTTTTACAAAGCCAGTTCTTTCATTTCCAATTAGTAATTTATATTAATTATTCTTAGCATACCATCTTGATTCATTTTATGAACTTGTATCATCTTCTATAGCCACAGACACATGTTAAGGATACTGTAGACTCCCTCTTGGCTCACTAAGTTTTGTGGGCATATATTTTATCTCTCGATGATCTCTCTAAGGTTCTGTATGGTATTTTCCGAAATCCAAAGGGCTAATTTGATCATCTTATTAATTTTCACTCATTTATAAATTATATATTTTTTATACAACAAAATCCTATTTAATCCAAATACTACTACAATTAATCTTCTATTTTTTATTTCATTTTTTACAATATAAAGATAAATTAAATAGTTCAAGAATTATTCAAGAACTTATAAATTCAATATTATTAACTTAATTTTTAATATTGATACTTCTATTTTCTTAAAAATTAAGTTAATTAGATTAAATTTACAATAATTCATTTACAGAAATATCTTATGCAAAAACATAACTATTGACATAATATGTAATTTATTAAATCATCTACTAGTTATTTTTATTTGATAAAAGGAAAAAACTATAATAAAAAAAAACAATCAACATAAAATAAAAAAATAAAAACTTGATTATTAGATAAATATTAAAATAAATTTATGATTTAATATCCTGATCTAGATAAACCAGTTAGTAATTATAAGTAAGCATGCAAATTACATAGTTATCCTCCTCTTGATGAAAATGCTTAAGCAATTTAAATAGGATAACCTATATAAGCAACCTAATGGTCGAATAATTAAGCGAATTGGATTCAATAAGGAAATTTTGCATAAAATATTCCTGCAATTCCAATTACTCAATATCCTAGTTCTTTATAGTATAGGAGCTTTGGTAAAGTTTAAGACTTGATGAATAGGAGAACTTGATAAAGAGAATCTTCCTCCTTATTCTTTAAATATTAGATGTCCTGAATGTGCTGGTGTAATTTAAACAAAGTTAGCCTATGTTCCAGGATGTCTTTCTTTTAGTTTATGTTTAACAATGTGTGCTTTTGGGTTATTTTGTGGGTATTATTAAAATGATTGTTTAATAATTAGTTGTTGTTTAATACCATTCTGTATAAAATCTTGCAAACGTTAAGTACATTAATGTCCTTTATGTGAAAAAGTATTGGGAGAGGTGAAATGACAATTTTTTCTAATTATTTATATGATTAAATTCCGTTTTTATTGATTATTAATAAAATAATGAAAGCCTTCCTCATATTAGGATTGTTGATTTTAGGAATCAATGCAGTAGAATTGGAATCAGGAGTCCCAATTTTGCTAAAGGAAATAAAAGCAATTAAAACAGATCATACAGAATTTACATTTTTATTAGATTTAGAACTCAGTTAAGGAGGAAAGGTTTCTGAAGTTGTTTCATTAGTAGGAGATTTATTAGAGTAAATGAAAAGAGATTAACTTAACGATGATCTTGAATATGCCCATGTAATATTTAGAGAAATTAATAGAGAACAACAACTTTAGGATTAGACATTGAATGGTTGATTATTGTATTAAGAAACCTTACAAAAGAGAGACAAGATAAAAATAATTAATTAAGTGAATTGAATTAAATTCTTGTTGGTCTATAATTATAATTAGATGCACTTACTGAATAATTAAATATTCTTAATGGTAAAGAAGAATAATTAAGATAAACAAGAGCATAAGAAGCTGCATCATATTAAGCTAGATAAGAGAATAATAGTAAAGTTTTAGCAGCTTTAAATGAAATCATTCCTAAATTATAAGTTGCTGTTTTTGATTAAGAAGGAAAATCATTATTATAAACAGAATAATTTGAAATTGTTGAAAAAATTAAAAGGGAATTAGGACATAATCATCCAATTGCTATTATGGTAGCTTTGACAACTAAATTTGATGTTCCAACTGTTAAAAGAATTATTGATAAATTAGAACATATTAGAAATGCTGTCATTGCTTTAATGCAATAAGAAGATGAATAAGAAACATAAAGCTAAGTATTAAATTACTTTTATTTAGATTACTTTCCAAACTGTTATCTAAGAAATTGCTGAATTAAGAGAAAGATTCTCTAAAGACTTTGAAATCACTTCTTAATTGATTAAAAAAAGAACCAATGATAAAGTAATAATATTTTTATCTCTTTAAGGTTCTTTTAGAAAAGAGATTAACAATTATAAATAGAGATCTAAGTCTCACTGAATAATTACTCATTTAAACTAGAGAATACAAAGAATAATATGATGCTGCTTATGCTGTCAGAAAGGGTAAAAGGTAATTATTTTAAAATATAATTGTTTAGAATTTCAGAAATCAAAACCGTTCAATAAGCTTATGATCTTGTCGAAAACCACGCTAAGAAACATAAACAATGATTTAAAATAAATATATTTGCAATTATGTGGATTATGGATATTTTTAATTCCTATCAAATTTAATTAATATGAATAATATTCATATATATTTATCAATATGTGCTTACCACTAAAGTTCATACAATTATTCATTCGAATAAATTGCTTTTGTTTCATCATATTTGGAATAATACTTATTACCTAAGTATTTGTTTCACTTAATGAAGATATTAACAATAGCCAAGATGTAAGATTTATTATTTTATCTTATAAGGGAGTTGTATTCACATTTTCTGTAGGTTTAGCTACTATTATAGTAGGTGCATCAGGATTATTAAGTTCATATTGTCCAAACTTTTGCATCATTTTTGTTTATTCCTGTTTCATTATATTTATAGGAGTATTAACTGTCTATGTTACTATTTGTTTGACCATTTTATAAGATTAAATATTGAACAAAGATTTTGATGATTGTATTTCTTCTTCTTTACCTACTGCTCAAAAAACTAAAGAATAAATTTTATGGGCAGAAACTCAGTTTTGTAAACAAAATTGTCTTTGTTACATTGAAAGAATTTAAGATTGGGATCCAGATTACTTAGAAAATAATCGAATATCTTATACTACTAATATATAAATTAGTGACATCATCAAATATCCTGATTGCAAAAAATCTATTAAAGTTTAAGGGGTTTCCTAAAATTACATTGCAACTTTAGAAGAAAAATATAATTGCTCTGGTTGGTGTAAACAGCATCCAGTTTACTTATTTTCAAACATTAATAATGGAGTACCGTATATATTTTATTAATATAAGAAAAGACGGTTGTTTTTCCTATTTTGAATAAGAATACATTTATTAGGTGAATAGAGCATACATTGATTATCTAATTGTTGATATTCTATATCTTTTTAACTTAGCATTTGCTATTTGTTAGTGTTATTAAACAAATAGACAAAAGAAATCTAGGATTTATCCGTAAATACTTTATGAACTAGCATCTTAATGATTTTTAAAATAATTATACTTCTATATAAATTAAATAATCTATCTAATTATTTACTATTTTCTATTTAAATCCTTAATATATATATGTTTAGAATTTAATATAATAATTTCTGTATATTTTATTTTATATAAATTTAATTTTAACTCAGATGAATAGTGACTTTATCTTTTTTACTTTTGTTGCTTCATCGTCTTCTGTATTATTTATAATTTCAGTAATTGAATTCAATTCAGGTGTTTTTGTTAATGTTGTTTTTGTAATCTTCCAAGTAGACGTTTTTGAAAGTGGTCTTTTAACTAATAAGGAATGAGTAGTATTTTAAGTATTTTCATTATTTGTTTTATCTTTTAAAGCTTAAAAAGTTTTTCTATTTGTTGGTGTGAAAACCTTTCTTTCCTCTTATTTTCTAAATTCTACTGGATCATAATTCTCTCTCTTTTCAACTTATTTATCATATTTTGATTTCATGAATTATGCTAAATCTAAAATATCTTAATACTTTGCTTTTGAGAGAGATTAGATCTAAATTAATAAAATAAAATACATCTAATTATTTTTAAATATTTAATTTTGTTAAAGCATCCGCTAAGGTTTTGAAATTCTTTATATAATCAGTTTCTTTATTAGCTTTCCATATTATTTTATTTGCTTAAATTGAATTTGGATATAAATATTCAAATATTTAACAAAATGTACTACCTGTTCCAAGTGTCTCCAATTAAGTGATTGTTAGCTAATAAGATAGAGATTAAATAATTACTTTAAAGGTTTCATTTATCCATTAAACTAATTCTTTTTTAGAAGTTGTTTGAGTAGTTTAAGTTGACATTTGATTTCAAATAATATAATTATAATATCGTTAATTTTATATAATACCAAATTTAAATAGCTTCATAAAATTTAATTAAATCTCTTGATTGGTCAAATAAGATTTTTAAAAAATATGTATTTTAGTATTTTATTCACTTCTTGTTTGCAAATTAGCTATTTGATAATTAATTTAAAAAGATTTGAATATCTGTTACATTGATTGCAACCTAAAATATTGTATTAAGTCTTTTAAGTAGAAAATCATAATTTGAGAGAGAAAAACATTGTAAACATTATAAAACTAAATATAAATTATAATATTTATCATTTCAGAAGTGGACCTTCTAAGTTTTGTAACTCCATTTGGGTTCCAGCTTTGGAATCATTGTCATGTTTAGGAGGAGGTATTTTGAAAAATGTCAAAGCATAATATGGAACTAATTCACCCATAAATACTTCCTAAATTTGAATGAAATAGGAAAAATACTATAAGAATTAAATCTATGTTTAATTGAACATAATTAGCAAAGATTAAAAAAAAAATTAGCAATCGTAGTGCCAAACTAATTGAAATTGTTTAGATCAATTTGTTAACTTATGTAAGGAAAGGTACAATCCAATCATCATCTTCTAGCTGCAATAGTTAGGTTTTAGTACATCAGAAAATAACTTATTGCTAAAGTATAAGCATCCAATAATAAGTGCGGCATAAAGTAAAAATTAAAGAATTAATACTCTTTCCAAGAATCCATCCTTGATTAAAAAGTAAACATAAGATAAGACTATGTGTCTATAAACAACTTACCTAAACAAATTGGACTATAGTATATGGAATACTAAATGATAGTAGTATCCTTGTTTGCAAGAACACTCATACAGATGGCTAGATGTCCTATGAATATGATGTAAGATTGGATCCAAATTAGGATTGGTGCTGTGTATAAAAAGTCTAACCATATGCCTTATGGCTATTCCATTATTAGAAGGAGACTCATACCCCTGAAGGCACTCGACGCACTCACACTCACCAGAAACCAAAATTTCAGATTCTTATTTTTCATACTATGTAATTTGACCATATTATTGGCTAGGCAAACCAATACAGCTACCATTTCAATAAATGTTAGCCTAAATAAATAAAAATAGACTACCAAATTTAGAAATGACTTGGAGGTTCTGGTTCTTAGTTATTTTCCATGTATTTTATTATAAATATAATTATATAATCAGTTTTAGTGTTGTTTCTGGTAGAAATGGGTCTGACATTAATGAGCTAAATCTTATTCATCCATTAAATGTTATTTAAATGATTACAACTTCTTACGCAATCTATAAAATAAAAATGTTAATCTACCTCATAATCTTTTCAATTTTTAATCTTAATATATTATCAAGACCATCAACATATTCTTCAATATCTGAATTAGGTTGATCAACAGTTTATAACATTTTCATTTCATCATTAACCAATTCAATTAAATCATCAATATGATCTCTATGAGCCTTTTTAAGAGCTCTTTCTTCATCTAAAATTTGTTAAATAAGTTCATCATATTTATCTTTAAGATTACTATTTCTGTTAGGTTTGATTTAAATTTCATCTTAATATAAGTCTGTATTATCATGATCAAATAATTTAGGAGGTGAAACAGATTTATTAGCTTAAGGACTTTCAAATAGATAATTATTCATAATATATTATCTTGGTAACATTAATTCTCTGGTCAATTGATCAACACTATTTTAAGCTTAAGGAGCCTTCAATTCCTTTACCTAAATAATAGTTGAATAATCATATTACTCTATCTGCATATCTTAGAGTGTTCAGACTATGTTCAGCATCTTTATGACAAGGTGAGATTGTACCTATCATAAGAGTTCTACAATTTCCAGTAAATGAATCTTTAAGGACTTAAGTAAGCTTAGATCCTCTGAAAGGTGTGTGATTTTTATTAAGATCAAGTGCTCTAATACATTCTTTTAAAGCCAATAAAGATTTATTTATTTCAGCCCCATCTATTCTAGTTTATTTATGATATTCAACCACATCAGCACCTCTTTCACTACCTGCTAAATCTATAAATGATAATTTTCCAATGATTTTATTTTATTATCTCAAATTTATTTATAAAATTGCATGGGATCTAGAAGAATCTTAATTAACACTATTTTATCCAGTTACTCTACTCTTAATTCCCATTTCTACTGTTTTCTAGAATTCCTATACGCTATGTACTTTTGTTTCTGATAAACCTGCTATATTAACTTAACCTTTTGCATCTTCTCTAGCAACTAATTAAACACGATCATTTAATAAATCGAATAATTTAGAACAATAGATCTCATAGAATGAAACACTCAACACTAAAGAATTTGTTATCAATTAAAATAAATCATATGCAGCTAAAGTATATATTCCTACCACATTTTAATCACCCAACATTGTATATGTTTTACCAGATCCAGTTTATCCATATGCAAAACAAGTAATCTTAGTTCCATTTAATGCTGCTTGTACCATTGGTTTTACTAGTTATTAGTATAAATCTTCGTTTGTATATTATTAATCAAATGCAGCATCAAAGTTGAAATTGAATTCTTCAATAAATTTAGTTAAATCTACTTTGACTCTATTAAAATCATTCTAATAATACCTTGGTTCTCTAACAATAACAGTATTACCCTGAACTTCAACAATGTCCTTCTAACCTTCCTTACTTTCTTTCTTTGATAACGGACGCTTCCTGACTGCAACAATAATTTTAGGTTGATCCATTAAACTTTTATTTATATTTTATTAATAACTTCACAATTTGGCATCTTAGTACATTTTCTCAATTTCACCCGTCCATTTCTATTCTACAATTCTTCTTTTTAGTTTTAATGTTGGTGTCAATTCTCCTCCATCAACGCTAAAATCTCCAGGAATTAAAGTCCATTTTCGAATATATTGTGCTTTTGAAATTACTCTTAAAATATTCAATTATAATTACTTAGTATTAGTTTCATCAATCAATTTCTAAAGATAATCAGTAATGGCTTTGTCATTCTTGGCTTCTTCTATTGTTAGAGCTTAAGAGCCAAGACTCTTAAAAACAGCAATAACATCTTCATTCAATTTATCAGTGGGTCTAGATAAAAATTAACTTATTATATTACTATCCATCTGGTGTTAATTAATGTTTTAATGTTAATAAGATTGCTAAATATTTTCTTTTATCACCAATAACCATGCAATTTGAAACTATCTTAATATTCTTCTTCACTTCGTCTTCAATTAACACTGGAGCTACATTCTCACCTCCTGCAGTTATAATCAGCTCTTTAATTCTTCCTGTTATCATTAAATTTCCATTCTTATCAATCTTACCGACATCTCCTGAATGTAACCATCTTTGGCTATCTATTGTGTTTCGGGTAGATTCTTCATCCTTAAAATAACCCATAAAAATGTGTCTGCCTCTGTAACAGATTTCTCCATTTCCATCTTTATCTGGATTATCAATTCTTAATTCCGTGCCTTCCATTGGTTTACCTGTACTATTTATAAATAATTCATCAAATTTATCAAAATGAAAAGGATCTGCCATATTTTATACTCCTCCACATTCACTCATTCCATAACCATTGATTAAATACATATTCAAAGTTAAAAAATATTCTCTAATTATTGGTGATAAAGGAGCTGCACCAAATATCATGTATTAAGCTTGATCTAATCCTAAGGCTTTTTTAACATTTTAATAAACTAATTTATCTGCCAATCCAAAACAAAGTGGAGGCTTTAAGCCATGGGTTTATGCAAAGGTGCCTTCTTTACCAATTGATTTTGCCCAATTGGCTATTTTTGTTTTGATAGCTCCATTTGATTTTGCTATCTATTGCATTTAATCATAAATCTTTTCCCATACTCTTGGTACACTAAAAAATAAAGTAGGTCTAACTTCTTTAAGAGTATGAATAAGAGATCCTTACAATGCATCTGGATTTGCAAAGAATAAATGTGCTCCCCATCTTGCAAAACCGATAATATCTATTAATTATGCTACAACATGACTCAAAGGTAAATAACTAACCAATCTCATTTCTCCATTACCTTACATCACATATTTCCTCTTTTGTTATGTTATTGTAAAAACATAGTTGTCATGAGATAACATAACTCCTTTTGGATTTCCTGTAGTTCCAGATGTATAAATTAAAGTAACACAATTTCCAGGGCGTAATTTTGACACTCTTTCCAATACTGAGCCCATCAAATCTGCTTTTTTACCGATTTCAATAAAATCTTTCCACTTAAATACTTATGACCTTCTCTATTCAGGGATTTCAGCTGTTGGAATTTCATCATTATATAAAATTATTCCTTTCAAACGAGGCAATTTATCCCAAATTTTCAAATACTTGCGTAATTATTCTTTAGTATCTGCTACAACTAATTCACATTCTGAATGTTCGGATACATAGAAACATGCATCTGGATTATTTCTTAATACGTATTAATATTATTTCTTACGTAGTATAAATTCCAACAGGTAAATTGTGAGAATGAATGCTACCCATAAAAGAAATGTGCCATTCTGGAGCATTAAAGCCAATTATATTTACTGCACTCATTTCTGTTACTCCATAAGCAATTAAAGCTTTTGCAAATTACATTGATTCATTATAATATTCTTCATATGTTCTAGTAATCCTAATTTATAAACTTATATTTTTACCATTTATTGTTTCTCTTAACACTTAAGGCTGGCTTTTATGCAAATTGAGTGCAATCATTTTTAAATTATTCTGGAAGAGTGATTGGTATTTCACTTCCTGGACCTGATTTTTTGACCCGTATTGGTAATTCCATCCTATAATTAGTTGTCCATTAGACATTTTTTAATGGATCTTTAATATCAAATTCCTTCAATAATTATCTCATTCCTTCTTCTGATATGTACACTTTCTCTTCCATTTAAAGATATTATTAAATTAATGATATTTCTTAAAATTATTTTAAGAAGCACTCTTATTTTATCAGAGCTCTCTGTTTTCAAAGAAGATTCAAATAATAGGATCAAGAAAAGAAGTTTTGATGAAAAGATCAAATAAGAAAATCAATAAAGTTAAATAAATATGATCTTTAAATAAATGTGATAAATGACAAAGAGTTAAAATTTATACAACCTCATCTGAAGAAGATTATAAAAAACTCTATTCGTTAAATTGTAAAAATTAATGTAAGTAGGAAAAAAGATGATTATACTTATCAAGGATAGGATGAAAAAATAAATTCTTAATAACCCAAGTAAATTCAATTTATTAATTATAATATTTCATAAAAAGCATGTTATTCATTTCTAAAAAAATTTTGTTTCTATATTGCTATTTAATTAATTGCTTATTTAATATTAAACAATATTATTATAAATGCTTGATTAAACAATTAAAACGAGATAATTTAATAAATTTTATTACGTATTTTATACTATAAGAAGTTTTCTACTTTCTGGAATTTTATTAAATATTAATTTTTGAAATGAACAACGATTTATGTGAATCTATTGTTAGTCATGCAAATCAAATTTTTTAATCAATAGCTAATCTAAATGGATAATTGAATGAAAATGGCAGCATTAGTAATTTATTATTTGATTATTAAATAGCTAACAACAATCCTACAACATCTAACACGTCATCTACAATGGGATTAGCATTCATTATGTTCTTATTATTTACTGCATATGCATTGCTGTCTATTTTCTCACCTCATAGATAGCCAATTATGCAAAAAGGCAATATTTAACATTAACAGAATAATCATCATCATGATGATGAATGATTGACTATTGAACTCTTTTTTTATATGACTTCTTTAGTTATTAATATTTATTAATTCTAGTTTTTTCTAATAACAAATCATATAATAATTCATTCACTTCATCAAATTTTTAAGTTTATGTACCATTTTATAATTGTGGAATTATAAACAGAAGATATTATATTATAAAAAATAAAGTTGTGTTTTTGTAATTCTTAAATTTACTTAAGTTATAGGACTAATATAACAATATAAATGTGGAGGAATAGAGATATATAATCTTAAGTGCTTGACAGTTATCGTAAATTATTTATCTAAAATTATTTAAAAAAAATTATTATAATTGATTGAGAATAAAAAATGAATTAGTTACTATAATTATTTGTTTTAGGAATATAATTATTGATTTTATTTTCTAATAAATATTTCATGATTATTGATTTAGGTTAGAAGTTGTATCATATTCAGTGATTTCCTTAATTTCTGACATATTTAACCAAGGGTTATACTATTTACTACTTTCTTTAAGCTAATCTTTATATAGTTTTAATAATTCTTATAACTCTTGTTTACCCTTAGTCATTAGTAAATCTTAATTTATAATTGATTCATTAATCACAGTCTCCTATGAATTATTTCTTTATTTAATAGGTCTAGGAGGTATTTAACTTTTAATAGGTAATTATTATTGTTTAATTTATTGTTCTGGTTTTTTTTTTTATTATTAATTAGTTTAGGGTCTATCTTTGGAATTCTTCTTTTAGACAGGAGATTATTAAGATATTTTTTATCGATGATGATTAGCAGATGTAGATGCTCTTCCAACTCTTTTATTATTTGTTTATTCTTTAATTAACTTTTCTTAATTTAATTAAGCTTATGCTTCTAGATCTTATTATTTACAAAAATCAAACATTGCTTTAAGTAAATAAGGATGATTAATCATTTATTAAACACTTGGTGGATTAGGTTACATTAATGATTTTAGAATTTAAGATAGTTCATGCGATTTTTAGGATTCCCAATCTAAATTTGTTTTTTTTAAGACTTATTAAAGATATTTGACTTCTTCTTTCCAATTTTTGTGAGAAAGTAAATCGAATTGTATTCTAAGTGATCCAAAAGAATTCAAAAAGATTGTGTCTAAATCAATAGAGACATTAATTTGTTGCATTTCAAGATAATTTAAAGCAAATAGCAATTGAAGCAAATATTGACAAACTAAATTAACAGAGATTTATTTGTTTAGTCTTTCATTTAAGATTTATTCTAATTAGTATAAATTAAATACCTCCACAATATTCTAAGACTTAGACAAGATATTAGGAATCAATAAAGTATTCTTTAATTTTGGTTAAGCTTGGATGTTTGATATTGATCAATAGTTTGAGATGATTTTCAATCTCTTTCAATCTTTCTGCATTAATTTTACTAACATCTGTTCTTTTTAAGACATAACATTATTTATCAATCAAGGATTTAACAAGTAAATGTTCTTCAACAATAACACCCTTATTGACTTTTTTGAATAAGACTTTTTATAATTTATAATTATTCATATTATGTATTATCATAATCCTGACCTATATTAACATCCATATATTAATGGCTAATAAAATGAGAAAACATACAGAAATAGCGGATTTTTAACAGAAACACAAGATGATTATGCAGATTATTAATATTACGATCCTTACTAAAGTCAATTACATAATAGAACTTATTTGACTGATGTACGTCCCTTAAATTATAGTATAATTCTTATATTAAAAATAGCAAACCATGAATATCCTCAATATCCAGTCAAAATAGGTTAACCATAATTCTATTTTGATCCTAACGATCCTAGCAATATTCCATTTATGCCTCATGAAAGTAATCATTTCTCAATCATTCAAGGATATGATGATGGATATGAAGAATATGTACTATAGTTTATTAGAAATTTGCCAAGATCTACTTAGAATTTCGAGGAAGTTGCATTTGCAAAATATTTAGCTGAATGCTCAATAATTGATAAGAAAGTTTGGAAAATATAGAATATGTTGAAATAAGATTAGAGATTCAATGTTAAATTACTCTTTGATTTCTTTGATTCTAAAAAGAATGGAACTATTGACTATAATGAGTTTCAGTTAGGGTTGTAGAAATTGGATATTATATTGAATTCTATTGAATTGACTTAAATGTTTCTTCGTTATGGAGGCATGGACGATAATTAAATCTCTTCAGTTGAATTTAAATACATGCTTCTAGGTCCAGATGATTAATAGCAATTTATGTAATTTGGAGCTTTGCATTATATGCATCATCCATTAAAATAGAATATTCCATAGTTTCTATCTATTGCCCAAAGAGAATTGATTTGTGAAATTATGCATCTACAATTACAATTAGAAAGAAACCTTAACTTTATTAGAGAAGTTATTGGAACCAAAGATCTTCTACTGGCCTTATTCAAATAATTAGATGTTGGAATGAAGGGTTACATTACTATTCAAGATCTAGTTATATACATGAATTAATTAGGAGGATAGTTTGAGTCTTATGATTTGAAAGGTTGTTTAGGAAGAATGTCTAAGTAATTATGTATTTTTATCCTTAGAATTCATTGCAGTCGAATTAATTTTAATGAATTCAAAAAAGAATTCTTTTTAGATGAAAAATAAAAATCAGACTAAGATTAAAATATTGATATCATAAGTGATAAAAAAAAAACAAGACAAAAGGATTACATTCAAGAACTACATCAAAGAACAAGAGAATTGCAAAATAAATAATAATAAGCTTAAAAGGTATCTACTGAACGCAAATCTCAACCTTTATTAACTACAACTAATTAAATTAAACAGCCTCAACCATATGTAATATAACCACCTGTTGTATAAAAAAAGAAATAAGAATAAAGCTCTTAATAATAAGACGATGATTTAGATGATTTATTGTTTCCTGGTTTTTAGAAATATGAATTATAACCACCAGATCAAGAATATTGATAATATACAAACACTACCAATAATATTATTATAATAAGCCTTCTTACTCAAACTTTCATAGTAATGACTCAGCTATTCAAAAATCTTGTTGTTTTTTATTATAATAATGTTTAATTCAGTTCTTCGTATCTGGAAATTAATAAAATATTATTGTTAAGACTAGAACTCTTATCACTAACCACTAACATTATATACTCTTTTTAATTCATCTATTTTCATTTCAAATTAACATATTCCCTCTGAATTCATCAGTTGATTGATCATTCATTCTCCCTTTTATCTCCTTAAATAATAATAACAGCAAATTTCCTATTATCTCTCAAATTTTTTTATTTACTAATTTTAACTATATTCTTTTGTGTCAATTTAATTTTAAGGTAGAAAAATTTATCATTTTTATTTAAAAAATATCAAAATTAAATTGATTCAAAATTAATTAAATTGCAAATTCATAATTAATAAAAAAAATATTATTTGGATTAAATTATCTTTCTATTTATCAAGCAATTCTTTTGACTTCTTCCAATAAAAAACAGTTTTTCTACTTATCTAATATTATTTATTTCTTTAGATTTCAATTTCTAATCAATAATCATCTAAAATATCATTTCTAATGTTTTAGACAATATCATCTGAACTCAGTCATTATAAACTATTAGCTTTATTTATTCTAATCTTTTTAGCATCCTTAATAAATGGAGCGAATTTCTAATTTTATTTTAATTGAAAGCACCTCTTTCTTTTTCTTATGAAAATATTTGTGAAATTTAACAAATTTCCAAAATTAAAGAAATAATATTTTATTTTTAGATTAGTTGTTGATATTAAATAAATATGAATCTTAATCGGTTTAAAAATTGCATTGATTTAAATAAATATTAAAACTTTATAAAAATTAAAATCATAAATATAATCTTTAAAAAATTTAATTAAAGTTACAATAATTTTGATTAGAAATGTTATCAGAAATTGATCAAAGTTCTGAGAGTTCTCTCAAATGTGTCATCAGTAAATAATGTTTGGGAAGGTATCACATAGACGAAATGAATTATGATCTTGCTGTTTTCATAAATTTTATTTTTAACCTCAGTTATAATAAACATCAAAACAACAAAATGTATAACCAAATAACAAATATTGAAAACCTAATTAAAATAAAAAAGAGTTACTTTTTATTAATCTACCAATTTGATTGTAACATCAATTAAATCATTATAAAAATTTGAATTCATTACATTAATCACTTCTGATATCATGAATGCTCCTTCTAATTCATTCTAAGTAGGCACAGCTCTATAAGTAAAATTATTAATTGCCACATCTGTTTCAATTAAATTTTAAATATATATTAACATAGCTTTAAGACCATGCCTCATGTTTTAATTCATTATAGTAGGACATAACTATGCTGCTCTAATCTTTAGATCTCCTGGTAAGTATTCACACAAATCACTAAGTTGAATTTTAGAATAAAAGTCATAAAACTTATTTGTCACAAGCATACTTAAAATTTAATTATAATAAATTACTTATCAAAATTAGGATCTTAGGATGTAAATAATTTAGTATTATTAAGAGATTCCATAATATAATACCACATTCTATCAAAATATGCTGCATCTAAATACATATAGTTTTTTCTTCCATAAAGAACTTCTCTTTATGCAAACATTAAGGGTATATCACCACCAAGATCAGCCAATTATTTTTTATAAAAAGCTGTTTCTGGGTATTTCTTTAAATATTTTAAAAATTCCAAATAATTTACTATACTATTTAAACCAAGTATTGAATAAAATAAAATTAGTATAAAAATAAATCTATAAGGAGGTATTCTTTTTTTTCTTAAATTTTTTGTACTTCTTGTTTCTTTCTCTACTTTTTACTCAAAAAATTATAATTCTTTTTCTGCAATTTTAAGATTATAATTAAATTTATAAGAATTATCTTATTGTAATTTATCAAGTAATTACTTAAATTTTAAGATATCTTACTATATAGCATCATTATCAGAATATTAGCTTAATTGTAAGAATAGAATAAGTTTTTTATTGATATAAATTTAAGCATAAATAATTGAAATTACCATTATAACCAAAAATAATTGCTGAAATAAAAAAAGTGTTTAAACTTCATCTTAAAAACTTTATCCCCTTGAAATAGTTTGGGTCATTATATCAGAATTTAATTAAGTCATTATATCTCTGATTATAGGATAATTTTTAAAACTATAAAAGATTTATTGACTATCAGCTTTAACCGTTTTCTCATATATGTAATTCATCTTCAAAATATATTAAAAATTCAACAAAACAGAGATTGCTGTCCTAAGAGTCATATTATATTATTCTGATTTATAAGTATCAAGATAAGAATAAGCCATTATATATTTAGTTTATAATAATCCTTAAAGTTCTTGTCGATTAAGAACTAATTTTAAGTTTTAATTTAAAGAGTCAAATCCAAGTCCTAAATTAGAAGTTGCAAATTTAGAAACTGAATTATACTCTTATTAAGAAATAATACCATTAGTTTTCTAGAAATTGTAAGTCCATAAATTCCATCTAGTAACTAAAAACATATCCATTGGTTAAAAGAATAGATTTTTTATTTCTAATAAATTGATATCAATTGCAAATGCTACTAAATTTAAACTTGATAATTGCTAAAATAGAAAGTATATATTACTATTATGATGAATAATGCTTAAATAATTAAACATAAAATAAACAACAAGACCAATAATTAATGTTATCTTTTTAAAGGCATATGCTTATTAAATTTGTTATATAGGTCATATTTTCTATAAAATTTTGAATTTCTAAGCATTCTTATAGATGATACTTAAGATTAATCTTCCCTATCAAATAATTCTTCTTTTTTAACCTCCTATTGTTCTGGTTATAATCCCTTACCATCTCCACCTTAAGTTAAAGATTTAATTGACTGTTTTTTACTTTCAGTTTTTATTTTCTCAACTAAAAGATGTTATTCAGGATCACCTCTAGATGTAAATACTTATGGTTAAACTGAATCTATATTTAAAACCCTTTTTATGGCTTCTTCATTTAAACTTTTAATTTCATTTAAACTCTATAATTTATTTAAACTTTTTGCCTCTTTTAAACTTTTTATATCATTTTATCCTTTTACTTCATTATTCTATTGAGGTAAGTATGTATCTTCTTTTGAAACTTATTTAATTATTATAAGTTTCTCTTCTGCTATGCTTAATTCATTAGCTGAGGATGATATAATTGTTTATGTTTCTTTTTTTGTTGAATTACCGTTATTTTAATAGGTAATTTATATATTTTCAAGCTTTACAATCATGTATATCATTTGATCTTTATGATGTTTCACTATTATTTCTAAGTTGCAATAGTAACGAATATCATCTGATTCTTCATTTTAATAGATTAACTTTTAAGTATTTATTACAACATTTTCTAAAAAGCAACTTTAATTCACCTATTAAATTTCTGGAAATACATTAATTATAGATGATCCCTTTGAAAAAAGTGCTTTATAATATTTAATTTCTTTTAATTGATTTGTAAAACTAGTTATATTATATTTTTCATCAACAATCACCGTTGCATTTTTAACAGAAGTTGGAGATATTAAACAAATAAAGTTTACTTAATCAGAATATGTTAAATCTATTGCAAAATCTATAGTATCAATTAATTATCCATGAGTTATATAATTTTGATATAACTATCTAACAAATTTGGATTTACCTGTTATTATAAATTCATCTACTAATTTATTATGCCATTCACGAATTCCTAAAGGAATTAAATCCTAAAAAGTTTTATTACATATAAAATAGGGGGCATTACTAGAAATTTTATTTAATTACAATTATCCATTTTCATATTTTGTTGTTATATAAAACATATGTTTATTTGTTGTATAATCTATAATATATATATCTGCTGATTTTTTGGCATGAATTATCATTTCATTTGCTTCTAACAAATCATTTAAAATTTCTGCATAAAAAAAACAAATTAAAGCTTACACCATTCCATTAGGCTCACTTAAATAATACTCATCTATTTATTTCTTGATTTTTAACATCCTATTCACAAATTTATAAATCTCATCAAATTCATTTGTTTTCCAATTTTATAATAATTTAATTTTCCATGCAATAATTTTTTACAAACTATTCGAAATTTTTATATTCTTAATATCATTTTAGATTAATTTTGAAGCTACTCCCATTAATTATTGACTTTTTACTTTTTATTGCAAATCTTAATTGATTTAATTTATACATTTTTTCAACAATTGATTTTGTTTGATTTATCTTATAAAATTTTAATCTTTTAATTTATTGAGAATTAAAAAACTTTCATAAAACTTTTTCTATTAAAGTAAAATCGATGCGTTGATTATTGGATCTTTTGAATAAATTATATCTGATAATCTTATATATGTCATAATTTTGAAGAAAAAAGGAACTAAAATGAGAGTAAAGGTATTTTCAAAATGAATAAATTATATTATTCCTACATATAATGTTGATAATTAAATTGAAATCATTATTAATCGTATTAATGGAGATCTTTGATTTTTGATTAATATAAGGTCTAAAGCTTATGTTGCTGAATTTACAATTGCAATAATTTATATGTGTTTAAGCTTGAAATTTAATTTATAAAATATCATGAGCATAATATTTATCATCAAAGTTATAATGCTAAAAAATGTAATCTAAGTTCTTTAAAAATTCTTTGTGTTAATATCTAGTGTTCCTTATATAAATAATATCTCAAACATCTATATAAATATTATAAGTCCTCCAATAAAATAACCTTAAATGTCTTCAAATTATTCAATGACAAAATTCAGAAATCCCACCTTCATTAAACAATTTATTAGACTAATTATACTTTTCCCTGGTATTTTAGCCTTTATTATACACAATATTTATAGAAGCAAAAAGCAAAATCCAAAAATATGAAAATGTGAAATTTATATTCTAACTGAAGGTCTAGCAAATAACACCAAAGTGTAAATCCATGAAGATGAATTCTGATAATATATGTAAGAAATATTCAATAGGGATGCATGTATAAGAAGTAAGTTAACTAAATTATCGGGTAATGTAAGGGCAGAATCATCATATTCCATGTATTTTGCTAAAATTTTGGACATTATATGACTAATATTAGGCATTGAAAACTAAATATCTGAAAGAAAAATTATGATAATTATTTTTAAATTATCTTCTATACAAATCCCATTTAATTTATGTTATAAGATTATTTGATTATATATTTATTTAATTTTTACAAAATAACATCATACTCCTATTATACTTGTTGAAATATAAAACAATTATAATTAGCTAATTATGATTTAAACTCCTATTCATATTTTATCTAGTTAAAAAAAATCTAGTTTATAATCTTATAATAAGATTTATATGTTTTTCTTTTAAAATATCTATTAGCATTAATATCAAAATAATGTCTTGATGCGATCAATAATTCCACTGAAGTAAAACATTTTATTCAAATTTTAATTGTTTATAAATTAAATTTTAATTTTTACGAAAGCTGTTTTAGAATTAAAAACCTTGAGAAAAGTCTGCTCGTCATAGATAATTAAATTAATTTATTACATCATTTTTTATTTTTGTATTTAAATATGTTGATAATATTGTATATTAAATATTAAAAAAAAATAAATAGAAAGTTTGAACTGCTTAATTGTTATTTTTTTTAATATAATAATTCTTTATAATTAAAAATAGAAGAAAAAATCTGAAAAAGCTTATAACTTGGGGTTTGATTGATGATTTATTAAGAATGGAATTTTTTATCAAATTAAAAGAATAATTTAAATATTAAAATTGTATTAAAAAATAGTGAATTTAACAAACTTAGTAAATATATTCTATCTTATATTTAAGTTTATGTATTTTAAAAATAATGTAATTATATAAATCTAATTATAACATATTAAAATTGAAAGATTTAAAATTAGACAAGTCTTAAATAATTTAGAGATCATTTAATAGTTTTAAGAAATATTATAATCTTAATTTGTCTTAGGAACTTTTTTAAGATTAACATTTAGTAGATTTTTTAATTTATTTCTTATTCTTTAAATAAAAGCCTTAAATTCGATAAAATAATTAAAATATAAATCTTTAAAGCAAAATGATTGCCGTGTAAATTTCCAAGATGTTTTTATTCAGATTTTAAAGAGTTTATTAGAGTAGACAGAATTTAAAAGCGATTTTTATAATTATAATATAATGAACATTTAACAATTATATTATAAAAAATGAAAGCTGTTCTTTGATTTTATTCCGCTTATTTTAAAAAAATTGATATGTTTTCGAGGATTGAAATAATCCACAGCTTATTAAATGATAATAGTTTAGGATTCATCGATTGAGATGAAAATCAGAAAAATTTAATGATTTCTACAATTATCATAGAGAATTATAAAAAAGGGAAATATGTGATTTTTATTAGCAAATCTAGTTAAATAAATGATTGAAATGAGATTAAAAAAAAAAATGAGTTTAATAATAATTCAAAGAGATTTATTAGCTTAAGTAATAATAATTTAAGAATCATAATATTAATGAATATTAAAACATTTAAATATTTTGTCATCTAGATAATCTTATTAATTTAAATATAATATTTATTTAATTATGCATAATTTTCTGTTTGGAAATAGAAGAACAAATTATTCAAGTTTCAGTCCTTTTGGTTCTTAGAAAAACTTGAAACCAGGGATCATAAGTAAAATAAAAAATAAGATTTATGGTTTATTTCAACCAACAATTAACTAATAAAGTTTAATCCAACGGATACAAACATTCGAAGATGAAAATTTAGAAAAAGAACTATCTAATTAATTTAAAAATAATCTTGTACTTATTGATCGGATTATACCTAATTTAGAAGATAATTTAGGACTGAAAAGGAAGTGTACATATCCTTTTGAATAATATATAAAAGATGAATTTAATACAGATAAAAAATAATCTAAATAAACACAAACTGAATTGAATAATAAATCAAGTGATTCATAGATCAAAACATAGAATGTTAAAAAACAAAAGAAGTTTAAAAAAAATCAATCAAAAATGTATAAATGTAGAAAAATGGAAGGTAATATTTGTAAATAATAATAATAGAAAATCCAAAATAGTTAGAGTTTAACCTAAATAATCAAAAATTAAAATAAAATTTACAAGATAAATATGAAAATTCTTCAGATTGTTTATCAAATTAATCAAATAAGAAATTTAAATAGTTTGATAGCTTTAGTGAGAGTAGTATACCACTAAAATAATAAAAAGGTGAAACAAGTGATTATTTATCACCAGTAAAAATACTAGAGAATTAGTCGATTATTTAAAATGATTAGAAAAAGAAATAAAAATCTGATTCAATAAATAAGAAGAAGGAATCTCTATCTTCTGTGCATAGCTCACCAAATTAAGAAAGTGTGAAAGATGATTCAAATAAAAATAAAAACTTTTCAAATTCAACTGGAACCAATACAAAAGGAGAAGGGAATGAAACATTAATAAATTTTTAACATGGGGATATCAAATAAGAAGTTGAAGAAAAGATATAAGAATTTAAATAAAATTAAGATGAAATATTTTAAAATACTTAAGAATCCAATTTGAATCAAGTATTTAATTTTATTATTAAAGTAGAAATAAGAACAACTTAAAGAAGACAAGAGTCAAATACAAAAATAAGAACTTTCTATTGATCAAACCTAAAAAAAAGAAAAAAATGATAACAAAAATGAAAATCTACAGTTTTAATTCTTTGAAGGATCAAACTTAACTTTAAATTAATTAAATGAAAATAAAGAAATTATTTAAGAAGGAACAAAAATTGAAGAATAAAAATAATTAATAAAAAATTAAATATTTTCACCTTCAAAAATTAAGAAAGAATAAGATTAGACCTAATCAATTCATCTTTAAGTAGATGAATGTTTGAATAGAATTGATAAATAAAATAGTTTGATTGAAAAAACATCAAGTTTTTAAAATTTATAACCACAATAAAATAAAGAAATTCAAAAAAATATACTTTAAACTAGTTTTTTGAATAATTAGAATAAGTAAACAATTGATAAAAATGAAAAATTATCAAAAGAATAAAATCCATTTCTAGTACAAAGTCCTCATATCAGTTATGATCAAATAAGTCTTTATTTTTAATCTAGTACAACATCTAATCTAAATAAATAATGCTAATCATAAAATTAAAATTAGGCTGTGTTAGATTTATTTAAAATATCTACATAATCTCCTTAAAAATTACTAAATAAAACATAAGAAAAATTCAATTCTTAAAATTTATAATAAACAAATAATAATTTTGGAAATCCAAAAGTACTTCAATATTCAGTTAATAAATAAATGGAAATTATTGAATAATCTCCATAAATCAATTAGATTATTTAAAATTAATAATAAATATTTGAGTAAACAAAACTTAATTATTAATAGTAACCAACTTTATAGAATAATCTATTTTAATAGTAATAATAATAGTAATAATAGCATTATCCATAATAATTGATATAATAGTAAAGTTTCTAATTATAAAATTCTTTTCCTTTATAACAGCATACTTCAAATTAAGTTTCAAGCTTAAATTTATTCTAAACTAATTCCTTCTAATAATAATAGAATGAAATTATGAATAACCCTCTTCATTTAAAAAATGATGTGTTATCTCTTTTTTAGGATACAAAAAAATCTGATAGAGGTGAAAATTAAATATATATTTTAGATATTTTTTAGACATAACAATATCAATAGACAAGCTAGAGTTTGAATAATAGTTTTAATAAGGGTAGAAAGAAGTAGAGGATTAATAATTTTTGATTTTTTTCCAAGAAATAATTTATTTTATGTTTACAATAAATCACTTAATTTTTTAACATATAAATTTACTCGAAAATTAATTATATTTAATTCTTGACAAGAATTATAAGTACAAAACTATTTATAAATCAATTTAAGTAGAGTATTAGGAATAAATAATAGTTTAATTAATAAAGAAAGTGCATAATTAAATTTAGATTAATGGAGTAAAATAAAGATCTTTACATAATTTAAAGAAAGCCATTTATATATTGAGAAAATAATAGTTTATTTTTGTAGTTAAAAATGATAAGAATTTTTGATTAAATAAAATGAAATAGAAAAATGATTTTTGATTGGTTAATATATGTACTTTAGATATTTTTTTTTAACAAATTTTATTAATAAATATGGCAGAACATATTTTAAATCTAATAAACAAATAAGCAGCAGAATAATAAGGATAATTGGAAGAATTAGATATCTCAGAGATTAAAATAGAGTAAATAACACCTGAGATTACTGAAAATTTGAAGAAGCATTCTTAATTATCAAGTTTAGCAATTACAAGTTGTGGACTCAAAACTTTGGAAGGATTACCATAAATTGAATCATTAGAAGTTTTGATCTTGGAAGGTAATAAATTAGATGGAAATGCATTAAAATATATTAGTGAGAATTTCAAAAATTTGATTTGCTTATCTTTAGCAGATAATCAAATTAAAACATTTGATGTATATATTTATATTTATCAAAGGAATTGCGTGTACTAACAAAATTACCTAATTTATAACAATTAGATTTATCTGAAAATTAAGTGGAATAATAAAATGAATATCATTAAAAGATTTTTGAAATGTTACCTAATTTATAAGTATTAGATAATAAAAATAAAGAGGGAAAGGCTATTGAATATTCTGATGTAAAAATTATATTTATTTTAGGAAGATATTGGCGATGAAGAGGGTCTTGGATCTGATTCTGAATTTAATGAAGATGAAGATGATGATGAAGAAGAAAGTGAAGATGAATCTCCAAAACCATAAAAGAAAACAAAAAAGTGATTTTAATCTAGATATATTCAATAATTATATTGAATTATTTAATATTTTATAAAAATATTAGTTTCTATGTGTTCAAATTCTTATGACGATTGATTGATAATATTTGGAATATGAAAAATTTCATTATATTTGACTATCATTATTAAACTATAATTTTTATATATTCAGAGAAATTTAGTATAATTTATAATTACTATCTTTCAGAATTTTTAGTATTATTTTTATTATCATATCAAGATAGACTCAATATAATATAATTTAAAATCAGCTAAAAATTAGGATAAAGCTTTTAAAACCACTTTTTAATGGCTGAAAAAAAAAGAGTGATTAATAAACTTAGCATTAATTTACTAATCATTTTTAATGAACAGATTATTTTTTAAAATTAAAGGTTTCACTATTAAATGATTTTATATATAATAAAGGTAGATCCATCCATAAAATTTGTTTTTTAATTAAAAGTAATGTGGAAATATAGTCTGAGTTAATGTATGATAAAAACTAAAGTTAAAGCTAAAAATATCTTAGCTCTAATGAATCTCTTACACTGGATTTTAATATAGGTAAGAATACTCAGAATAAGATTTACTTGATGGTATTATAAAATGTTTAAGGTTAATCAAAATTGGTTTGGATATGTTAATTTTAATATTAATGAAAGCATGATGAGTAAAGGAGAATATGTCTGATTCAAATGTTAAAATATTCATTTCGTATTAGATTGTCAATTTAGAAGAAATTAATTTTACAGAGAGTAGAGTTTAATGAATTTCAAAAAGAAATATCTTCATTAATAGAAGATGAGCAATCTAGAATTCAAAAATGAAAATTAATATTTTATAGAAATAAAATGAAAATTAATAGACTGAATCATAATAATAAAAGAAAAATACTTATTTACTTAATAAATAAACAGTAAAAATAGAAGAACTAAATCATTAACTTTTAAATTAAATACAGTATGAAAAGAATAAAATAATTGAAGGAAATTACAAAATTTATAAATGAACAAAGTTAAAGATATATAAATACTATGGTTTTTGAGATTTCAGAGTTTTCTGAATAGACTATTAAGTAATAAGATAAATAATTAAAGTATTATAAGAGAAAAACGAAAAACATTAATTTGAGCATGAATTTACAAAAAAAAAACTTTTCACTAAAGAATAAGAATAAGACTAATATTAAGTTTTAATTCCTTAATAAAAAGATTAAAGTAAGAATTTGGAGATTATGAATTCTAAATTAAAAAGATAAATTAAAGAATTTGAGTAGGATAAATTAAAAAGAGATTAAAATAATAAAAAGATAGAGAGTGATTTATATAAATAGATTGATAATCTGACTGGATAGTTATTATAAAATCAAGATTAAGTATAATAAAAATAGATTAATTCAATAATTTTGAATAAATAAAAGAGAGAAGAATTTAATGTAGTGTATTAATAAAAAATGAAGAACTTAAAATATATGGTATTAATTTTGTTAAGGAAATATAAATATAAATTATATCAAAAAAAGATAGTAATAATTTGGAATAATTTGATTTTTATATTTAGCTTTTTTATATATTAATTATCCGTTAAACATGCTGAAAATCTCGAATAAGTCAAGAAAGAATGAATAATTGGAAACTATATAAGTGATTGAGAAATGTACAAGTATGAATAATTGTAAATGATTATAGAAATAATGAAAGAGGATCGTTTATAATTGAGATAAATGGTAAAGGATGAAAATATTAGATTGATTGAATTAGTAGCAAAACATAAAAAAAGAAATGATCTTAATGATTTATAATAAGAATTAAGAAAGTTCCTTAAAGATAAAAAGGGATCACCAGAAAAGGTTTAAGGTGCTCCAATAATTTTAAGAAAAGTAAAATCAAAAGAGAGATGTGAATGGAATACATCAATGAGTTCAAATCCATCTATAAAATCACCTAGTAGATCTAATTTAGATTTTAGAAAGAAATAAAAAGAAGACTAATCACATAAAAAAACAGAATCACTAAAAATGCAAGAAAAATTTGATAGCCAAATAGAACAAAAAGAAAATGATGAATTTAAAATACTTGATGAAATATAGGAAGTAAAAATAAAAGAATAATAAATTGTATTCAATACAGCAAATTCAGTCATCGATCCATTTTTTGAAGATTTAACTCCTGTTAAAATGGAATTTTAAACAATAATTTCTTAAGCACCTCTTAATCAAAGTGATTAAAGAAGTGAATGCATTTTATAATATAATGCAGCGGAAATATAATAATATATTAATATATAAGATAAACATTATGTTTCAAAAGAGACTTATTTAATTCCATAATTAAAAAGTCTCAATTATAAAATGATAGTTAATGTTGAATATTAAAATTTATTTACTGATTGGAAAAGTATACTTAGTCCTTAATAACCAATTTATCATATAAAATAAGACAATTAATAATAATCAGAATAATAAATTGAATCAGAATAATCAAAATAAAATTTAATTACTCTTAAAACTGAACCTTCTTAACTAATAAAAAGCTTAGAAATAAGAGGAGTAACTGCTGAAGAATTATTCACTTATTTAGTTCATCATAGATTTACTAAAAGATTGAATTTATATTAAATTATGGAAAATGCTAAAATAGCCATTCCAAATGCATAATTAGATTTAGATTCTTTATTTAGATTAGCAGATACTGATGAAGATGGATGGATAAATTTAGAAGATTTAGGATAAACTTTAATAGAAACATGTATTGAAAAAGAATCTAATCCAAATCCAATTAAGGAATTATTTAATTAACTTGATGGAAATGTTAAATTAGATAATTTTATAAATTTAATTAATGATAGAATATAAGCAGAAATGTAAATTTAAATATTTAATATAGTCTCTATCATGAAATTGATATATTTGGCAAAGGATTCATTACTTACTGGGAGATGTACAATCATTATGAAGAAATTGAAAAATTATTGATTGGATGATTTAAATATTTCAAATTAGTACTAACAAACAATATAAAATTTCTAAGACTTTTTATAATTTCAAAGTTAATATAGAATTTTTGATATGAAATGATAAACAATTGATATATAATTTAATTTTATGGTATATTAAATGATTAATAAAAATGTTATTAAAAAATTATGTGAATCCATAATATTATGATAATTTGAGAAAGTTTAAATACAGTGGTTAGAATCTTTCAATTTTATATAATTGGATTCTTGGAGATATTGCATAATGGGTGGTAAATAAACAAAATAAATATTAGGTTGATAAATTGCCAAGAACAGTAGCACCAAATCTTATAACAATAACAGGATTTTGTAATTTGTTAACAGGATTTGCTTTGATATTAATATTGAATCCGATGTTTGATAAAGATTTACCATAATGGGCTAGTTTATACTTAGCATGGACAATATTTGTATATTAAACATTAGATAATGCTGATGGAAAATAGGCAAGAAGAACTAAATAATCTACTGCTTTAGGAATGCTATTAGATCATGGTAGTGATTGTACTGCAACATGGATAGCTGGTTTATTGTATATTAATGCTTTTAAGATAACATTTACTCCATTTAATATGTTAACTGCAATAGCAGTAAGTTTTTTAGGTTTTTATTTTGGTGTTTATTGTTAATAACATACAGGAGTATTCTAATTAGGAGTTATTAATGGAGTTGATGAAGGATTACCAACACTTTAACTATTTTTAGTTGTAACTGCTATTATGTCATCATAATTTTGGCTTAATGAAATTTAAATCACAAATACACTTTCAATTCAATATAATACAATCTTACTTGGTATTACTATCACTGGATGCATAGTAACTATCTTTTAATTTTGTTATCCTGTATTCAAAAAGATGAATTGGAACATTCTTAAAATTCTAAAAAGTCTGTCATTGCCAATTACACTTATGATAACATTTTTAAGTTTGACCTATTTATCCCCAACTTATGTGTTATTAAAATGGTTCCACATTTATGTTATTACTATTGGATTGCAATGGTCAAAAATGATTAATCTATGGCAATTGGCAATCATTACTAAAGAAGTAATTATATATATATAAATATATAGACTTTCAGTTAATTTTCATTCAGTTGGGCTTTTATTTTAGGCTCTATTATGTTAAATTTGATATCACAATATTTAACTCCAAATGGTCTTTGTTTCTTTGATGAAGTCTAATTGATCTTTGTTTTGTTAGTATTCTCTTTTTTATCCTACATGCATTGTGTAATTAGTATTATCCACTAATTATGTGAAGTTCTTGACATTTATGCATTCAGCATAAAATATCCATAATGAGTAATACATTTATAAAATTATCAAATTTAACAAAATGACTTTATGTGATTATATCTAAAATTTAGAAAACAGTTTAAGATATTTTTTTATAGATAATGATTTTTTATTTATTTTTGACTTTTTAAAATAATTTATCTATCCATTAAAGAATGTTAGTTAAAATAAAAGTAGTTATTAAATAATATAAATTAGATCGAAAAATGCTTATAAATTCATATTTTAATTCAATTATAAGTAAAATTAATATAACAATCATATTTTTTGCGATTATCTTTATTATAATAGATTTGATTCATTTTCCAAGTTTAGATTTAGTAAATTTTAGTTTCTTTTTCTTGAAAATTAACTAATTCTTCTTTAATTAATCTAATGTAATGAGATGAATTAAAAGAAAAATCTAAAAAATAAATTTCTATTTAAAAAAATTTGAAACCTACTAAAAACAGATTTATAAAGCATTTAATTTGAATAGAAAAAAGAAAAATTTATTAATTTAAATTAATATTTGTAATCAGATATATATGTATAATTTCTAATAATTTTTATTTATAAAGTATTAAATTAATGTATATGATTTAAAATCAGCAAATTTGTAAAATGTTGAATAAAGATAATATATAAAAATGATTGTTGTTAGGAGCCATAAAAATATAAATTTTATATATATTATATTTTGACTCATAATGCTTTATGCAACAAATCTTATTAGGACTGTTGGCATTTTAAAGTATTTTGAGACTTCTTTCCGAAAATAACTTTGGAATCATAATTACTCTTAAACTAAATTTGAGTAATTGGTTTATCTTTTTAAAATTAAATACTGCTTTTATAAGCACTCGAATTAAACTAAGGCCATTAATTTTATGTTTTATCTTATGAAATTCTCTATGAATCGAGATTTTTAAATCCTGTAGGATGTTCTAATTTAAGTCTTTCATTATCTTCATTGAGTTGGATGATTTGAATTTTAAATGAATCAATTTGTTTATCTTTTCTATCGATTTCAAATTTATGTTGCTTGTATAAATTGTTATACTTCTGTTAGACAATCTCTAATTATTATTTAACTTGCATATTCTATTCATACAACTCTCCTAATTCAATGACAGCTTTCTACTCTCGATTGTTGGCTTCTTAAATCTACTATCTCATATTCTAAAGTGTTGCTGTTCATTTATTAATAAAGGATACATTCTCTTCTTTGATTTTATTCTAACAAAACTTCTTGTTCTCTTTTTACACAATCTAATTCACTACACTTTTGTTTAAGTTCTCTAATTAATCTATTAATATCTTCCTTATATTTCTCTTCCATATCTTTACGTCTATCGTATTCTTATTATAAACTCTGGTACTCTTCCCTAGTTACTTTAAGCCTTAGGCCAAATAATTCTTACTCATCATCATGCTCTCGCTCTAATTTGTTGGTCTGTTCTCTTCACATTCTACACTTTCAGACTTCAAAGTCTTAACTAACTTAAAATCCCATACTTCATTTTTTTTAAAATCATTCTAATATGAATTAATTCTATCATCTCTCATCTCAAAAGTCGAATCTCTCTGGAATAATGCGTTGATTTGTTCAGCAGACATATAAACAGGCTAATTATTCATATATTTTATATATATTAATTATTTACTACTCTAAAACATATTCACATCAAATATTTCATACTAATAAAATTATATATATTATCATCATTATATATTATTAATTATTTCATTCAATTTTTATAATAAATGCCTAAAATTCAATGCAGTGATTGCTAACTTAAGTATATTTACATTATTAAGTAACTGATATTAAGTTGATGATTAACGTACCTATGCATGTAAATGTGGAAAACTATTTGCTTAAGTAAAATGTTTATTTTGCCAATTCACATAACCAACTTTTTTTGATCTAATGACTGGCATCAATCAACATTGGACATGTTCTAATTGTGAAACAGAATCCATACTCTCCCCATGTTAAAATTGTACAAACATGAATTTAAGAGGACTTGTATCTTTTTTTTTTATATTTCTTTAGAAAGAAAATTTATCCAAATGTTCTTGCAAAACAACCAATTATTATTTAGATTGTAAATTGTGTCTCACATGGTACACTCTCAATGAATCTAATAATAATTTAGATGGAAAAATTACATCTTGTGTATTCAACTGTGAATAAGTTTAAATTCTAAAGTATCTTTTATTTCTTTTTTATTAGATGCACTAACTGTTAATCTTTAAAAAAAATTGATAATTTCAACAATGAAATGAAAAATTATTGCAATATTTGCAGTAAATACTTTTTTAAATAAATATGCCCCTTTTGCAAGGAAGTTTCAACATTTAACCAAAAAGAAAGTTAACTTAAATAAAAATGTTAAAATAGAAAATGTGGGAAACCTAGTATTTTAAAAGCTGGAAAAATTCAAAATTAATAAGTTATAATCGGAGAATTTACAAAAGCTAATGATATTGAATAATTCCAATCTCCAAAATAATAATAAACCTCTAAATTTTTATAAAACTTAGATTTATTAGGCATTGATTAAGATAATGATAACACAAAACCTATTGCTAACTAAAATAATAGTAACCTCTTAGATATTGATCAAAATTTGGATCAATACAAAAGTTCTATTACTTCTTGCCAAAAATGTTAGGTATAATTTTTATCTAAAATCCAAGAACTCTACAGAACTTATCATAACAACTCCTTGTGGACATAAAGTATCTTGCTATTAATGCTTAGGAACAGTAGATAATTGTATTTCATGCAGTGAACCTATAAAGTTCAGAATCATGAATACTTTTAATAGAGATTTTTATCAAGAAATTTTAGATAGAATAAAATAAGAGTGATTATTCAATTAAATATTTAATATAAATCAACATTCTTGGTTCACATCTTTAAAAGGTAATATCTTACTAAATTAAAATTCCAAATTGTAACCTATTGGATTTAAAAGCAAATACTGAGCTGTTTATTCTATAAAATAGTTTCTCAAGTAGAGTGGAAAAAAAGAAAATTAGTCCATTATTGTAAATTTAATCTAAACACATATTTCTAAATTTATAATACTTATTTCTTCTAAATAGTTTTATTATAATTATAAATCTTGTAAAATTTAAAAAACTTATATTAAGAATATTTTCATTAAATGTCCATAAGTTCTAAATTTCAATGTATAATCTCCATTAAAATTTAATTTTACTTTTTTAGATAATTAATAAATAGACATCAATTTTGTTATCAATTTTCTTATATTGATTGTTTTAATTTTAAATTATCTTAACATTAAAATTGATAAGGTCCCAAATTGAAATTATTAATTTAATGGAGTTTTGTTGATTGCATTAAATTATTTGAAAAGGGATTACTTGAACTAATGAGAAATTTTTTTATATTAAACAGGATCTTATTAAATACTTTCTTATATTAGTATTATACTATTATCCATTTTATATTAGCATAAACGAATCTTAATTTTTGTTCTTTATAATTGAACTTCAAAGCTTTCATTAAATATAGCTTTGCCACTAATTATAGCGTATTCTAACGTCATATTATTAATTAAGCAATTTCTAATAAAATTTCTAATGTTACACCCGAAACATAAATCATTAGTATGTGATCCAAATTAATCTTGAAAAGCAGTTATTTAAACATCTATTTGAAGTTTCTTTTCGTTGTACTAAAATTTTGAGAAAGGTTTATTTATTAATTAGTCCAATTATTTATTAATAGTATCTTCTTTATAAGTCATTAAAAATTATATTCTTTATGCTTTATTACAGATATATAGAACAGAAGATGTTAAAATTGCAGTTGCTGTAGATAATGCCAAACACTGAAAGTCTATTCTTTTGGTCATTAAAATTGTTGAACTTTATCTGAATATTATATGAAGTAAAAGAGATGGGCAACTTTAATCAAAATCAGTAGAAAAGTATATAACAGCTTAAACCAGTGAAAAGTTATACCCATAAGTAAAATATTCTTGATCTACTGAATAATTTGTAAAATTGAATTATAATAATAAAGCATAAGCATTAGTAATAGTCAGTATTTTTGCTGTTAAACCCTCCTTTTTGTACATTATGTATAATCCAATAAGACATACTAATATAAAACCAATATTAATGTAAGGGATGACTAAATTATCTTACTAAGTAATTATGACCAGTTAAAATAAATTTAAAGACATTGCCATCACCAATAAACCATAAAATAAGGGTTTCAGATGTTTTGAATACGATTATGCCTGATATTTTTCTTCAACTTCTTTTTCCTTAAATTTAAGTGTGTACTTGTTCATTTAATCCATTTTTTTCACAAAATATTGATAATATATCTTTTATAGATTACTATTTTAATAAGAATTTAATATAATAAACCTAAAAATTAGAGAAGTTACTATTTTACTGATCTAGTCTTTAAAATATAATTATAAACAAATCTCTTCTCATATTTAAGTTATTATATTAATTTTTCTAATGAAATCTCATTAAGTATTTTTTCATTAAACAATTGAAGTTGTTTGTAATTAAAATGGCATCATTTTTAAATATTTTTAAGATGTCATAAATATTGTACAAGATAAAACTGAATTATAAATAAGAAATATAAAAGTATATTATAATTTATGAATTAATATATTATTTTTTTTATCAAAAGTGTGTAAATCATTAATAAATAATAATCTCATGACTTAATTAAGCGTTGGTTAATTTAATGTTTCCAGCAAAATCCTCTAGGTTTATAAATGCATCTAAATACTTGGCCAAAATTAGCAGGATGAAATATCATTTTCCATAATTCCTAAGTGTTTGTAACAAGCGGCTATTAATTCAGAGCAAAAATAATTCTCTTTTTCAACTCCTGTAATAGATCTTTTCTTGCATAGTTTCATGATATTGACTGAATATTTTTTGCCGTGATTCTTATAAACAAATTCTTATAATTTTAATAGCAATGCCATATCTCTTTTAGTATATAATTATCTATAGCTAATTTGTGTTACATATTCATGAAAATTGCTTTACATTAGAGCATCCCAAGTATAGATACAAACTCCATCATCACTATTAGCTTCAAATACATGGAGAACATTTTTATTATTTCTTAAAAGTAAAGCAACATGATCTAAATAATTTTGTTAGATATATTACCATATTCACTATTAGTAATTAATCTTTATAATTAACAAGCAATAGATTTATTTTTAAAAAGTAGTAAATCTAGGGATTCAGCTCTCTTTTCAAAAACATCAAAAGGTATTTTATGTTAAAGATAGAAGTTTGGTAATGGTGATTAAAAACAATAAGGTTTGGATGTATTAATATAGTAATTGAGAGAGAGGATCCATTGTTTACTATTAGTTAGTGATTAAAACTAAAACTAATAATTAAAAACTAATAGTTGAAATACATCATTCGAAGGAATGGATAATTCTAAAATATGAGATTAATAAATACTAATAGGATATTGATTAAAGTCAAGAACAAATTCTGTTTTATCCTTTCTTTAGAGTACAAAAGTATAATTGCGAAGTATTCCTGTGTATACAATGTTATCTTTAAGTAACAAACCATCATGATCATAGGACTAGTAATCTCATTAGTAATAAATGTAAATACAAATTTAAGTAGGACTGGTCTGTTTAAATTTGGATTTTAGAATAGTAATCATGTTAACATCTTCATTAATATCATTCCATTATTATTTCATTTAAATATAAATGGATTCTAATTATGTATTAAAAGGAGATGAATTTATGATGAAAGGAGATAAAGCCCTGAAAGGTAAACATTAATATTAAAATAAGGTTCTGCTTTTGGAAATATTTTTGGATCAAAAGGAGAAAGAGCAGAAAAAGCACTTGAATTATATAAGTCTGCAGCAACACAATATAAATTAGGAAAGAAATGGGAAAAAGCATCAGAAGCTTATTAAAGATGTATAACTTGTGATCAAACATTAAAATCAGGAGAGACTGGAGATTTTTATGTTGAATCAGCCAAAGCAATTAGTAATGTAAATAAAGCAGGTATACTGATATAATATTGAGTATAGAATCAATATAATTTTATGAAAAAGCAATAGAACATTATGCTAGTGAGAATAGATTAGACAATGCATCAAGATACAAAAAAGAAATTGCTTAAATTTATGAGTCAGAGTTTGAATTCCATCTAGCAGTTAAAGCTTATTAAGAAGCTGCTGATTTTTTTTAGGCAGATGGTAAAAGAACATCTGAATATAATTAAATGAGATTAAAAGTTGCAGAATTATCAACATTGAATGCATCTGGTGATTTAATTGCAGCAATCAAAGTTTTCATTTAATAAATCTATTAGATTTTTGAAGATATTGGTGATAAATACATGGAAAATAAATTAACAGCTCCAAGTGCTAAAGAACTCTACTTTAAATCATGTTTACTTTATTTATGCAATAATGTATAATTTTTAAAATACAATTTAAATAGGATTCAGTAGGATGTGGAATTGCTCTAGAAAGATACTTAGATAAAGATCCTAGTTTTGCTTCAGCAAGATAATATAAATTTGTTGTTAATTTAATTAAAGCTGTTGATAACAATAATGTTCAAATGTTTTCAGATGAATGGTATTATATTTTATTTTAATTCAGTTTTGAATTTAACAAAATCATACCTTTAGATAAATGGAAATTAAATGTCTTAAATAAGATTAAAGAAAGTATGCAGCCACTTCAATAAGTTGAGGATGGAGGTTTTAGATGATAAATAAAATTAAAATAATATTAGTCATCGTTTTATTATATTGTATTTAATTAGTGAAGCTCTTATGATCTTCTCTTTTTAAATTATATCATTTGGCATATATGATTTGTATATCTATCTATAAAACTAAAACTTTTTTTTTAACTAATTAACTAAGTACATCTCTGCTACTATTACAAAAACTAAAAATTAAAACACTACCATCACTATTAATAATATTAAGATTAAAGTATAGTCTTTGTCTATCAAAGATCCTAAATCATTTGACCAACTTGTCAAAAGAACTTTGAATGCTGATTTTATATAGTCTATAGCTATATTGAATTGCCAAATAGATTCCAAATTTATTTAACCAAATCTTGATTCTTTATTCAAAACGTAATCTATCTTTGAGATAAAATTAGTACCTTATGTTACTGAAGAATATAATTAATTAAAAGCTACTATGCCTTATTTTAATTTTCCATTTAATATTGTTTCACAATCTTTAAATTCTGCTTCATCAAAATATTATTTCTCGTAAAGGAACTAACATAAATTATTGAAATAAATTGATTAAAAACTATCATAATAACTACCATAATTTGGATTTTCAATAGATGGGGCAACATTTATATCTGTAAGTTAAGTTTCTAAAAGGTCTTTAATATGAGGTAAACATTCTGAATCATAAATTTCAGTATTAAAAAATCTTTCTTTAACAGAAACTTATAATAACTAACTATCACTAAAATCAAATATGGAATTTTGACCAATATTGATTATTTAAGTAATTTTTTTTGATGAATCACTCAAGGTCAAAAAAAATAATAATGAAACAGAGGAGGAAATCAGAACAAATACTATATAAATAAAAGACATTTTTATTGTTAACTATCTTAACAATTTTTTTTCTAAAATTTATTTATCCTTTCTCTTAATAATGTTTTGATCTTCAATCTCATTAATTAACAAAAAATTTTGTTATTATTAGAAGTTAGTTTTATTAACTATGAATTTTCTTTCATATTATGTATTGACTCCTTGAATCTCATCATCTTTTATCAAAATATATTAAAATTAAGATTAAACAAATTATTGTTACTTTACAATTTTATTTAAATCATTTTTTTTAATCATAATAAACATTTTAAGCACAGCCTTAAATGTTTAACAAATCCACAATATTATTAATAATAATCCAAAAAATCCTATAATGAAAATACATGATTCGATTATCAGTACTGTAATTACAAAATCAGACATAGAATTTGATTTATCATTTAACATTACTGAAAGAATTACAATTGCAGAATTAATTTCTTGATATATAGTAGGTAAAGTGATGTTTCTAATATATTTTACCATTGGATTTTCATCAGTTAATTAGATTAATTGTTCAGCAGTCATCATAGATATTTAATGTTCAACTAAAATAACTTTAGTAAACGCATCTTTATAATCTAGAGTTATAGGAACTTTTTAAACATCATAAATAGTTTCATCAAGGATAGATTTGCTAATAAATACAGATTAGTCTAAAAATGTATCCTATTAATCTAAATCTTTCATTTATTATTTGATAAATTCATAACCTGAGTCTATTTATTTAGTTTGATAAATAAAGAATTGTTCTTAAGTTCCAAGAGCAACTCCATTAACTAATAAATTAGTAAAATCAGCATCTTTATAAAGGAGAATATCCATAACAGTATCATATGCCTCAATTAAATATGTTTACATTTAAGACAACTAAAATATTCTCGAAGACTGATTCTTAATAGGTATAAAATCCTATTTATTATGTTATGATAATTACAGAATATGGTTTAAGAAAGTATGTGATTAGATTCAAAGTTAGAATAGTGATATACATAAATCTAAGAAACCAACTCAAATATGAAATTTTGACTAAGAGTTTTCTAGGTTTATTATTGTCTTCTTTTCTAAAAATGTTATCGAGAACATTAAGAGAAAAACTTTAAGTTCCATGTTGCATTTTAAATTAATTTTAAAATGTTTCCCAATTAATCATTTTAGGTTAACCTTTGCAAATGACTAAAGCATCTTTATCATCTGGGTCTTCTAAATTCTCTTCTTTTTATAATTGATAGCCAAGACCATTTTATTTGACATTAATTTTAATGTTACTTTTAGAATTAGGTTATGTTGAATATGGTTATGGAGGTGATATTACTTTACTTTCACAATCACTTGTCATTGTCATATATTTAGGTCCATCTAAATTTTAGATACTACGAACATGTTATAAATCTATAATTTATAAATTAATTACCTCTTGAATAACCTTTTTGTAACATTTATGAAAATTTTTTAACATTACTTCTTATTTTATTTTACAATATTTCTTAAATATTTTAAACTTTCATTATTCCAATTCTTTCATCTCTAATTTTATAAAAAGCCATTGTGCAAATAATTTTATAGGATTTTATTTTTGTTTAATTTTTCAATATATCTCTATATATTTCTTTGATCAATTCATAGTAATTTCTGTCTTCATCATTTTTTCTCCTTTCTGCTGCTTTCTAAAACATTAATCTAGCTTTCTTTTTAAATTCTCTTTATTAAGTTCCTTATTTGACTAACTATTTATTTTCATTATTTCTATGTTTTCTATTTTCTTTTTCTTAATCATTTTTTTCCTCTTATTTTACATGCTTACATATATATATATATTACATCATCTTATTACTTTTTAATTTAATATAGTTTATATTTGGATTCAGAATAATGTTTACATGCTGCCATAAATTGATCAGATAATTTAATATGAAAAGTTATTGTTTCACCATTATTTACCTTTCCTTCTAATACAAATTATCCCTTAGTTTTGATTATTTCATCCTTACTTTGATTATCATCACTAAAATCTCCTTGATTATTATTATCAAATTTAGTTTAAATTCTTTTATAATTATTTTGATATTAAGTCTCATACATTTATTTGATTTATTCATCAACTTTTTTATTTAATTATTCATTAATATCTTTTTGCATTTCTGAGTATTGATCAATTTATTATTTGAATTCTTTCTCTTCATTTTTATCACTAACACTACTAGCATATTAAAGAAATAATTTATCTTCTGGTACTTCTAATGATTACATTTAATGATAATTAGATTGTTAATCATCTGAAGAAATAGCATTTGAACTTTTTACAACTCCTAAAGTACTAGATCCTAAATGAGCCACATTAACTTAAATTTTAATTTTGTCTTATATTATATTTTACTTAATTGATTTAATAATCTATTCTTGCTTTTTCTTATTTTTTTACATACCAAACAATTCTAAATCAGTTTATTCATTTATTAATTAACATACTCTACTAAATTAAATTAATTTTGGAGCAAAAAGAAGCATATTAACTAATACTTAAACTTTTTATTTTTAAAATATTTCTTAATTAATTTGTAATGATTGAATTATATTAGGAGTCATTCCATTTATTTCCCAATCTGAATTTAAAATAATTACATCATGTTTTTTTTCATTATTGATATCTGTTGGCCTTAACATAACAACAAATTAAGATTAGCCATTTAAATCTACATATAGTTTTAAAAACTTTTATGCCGTAAACATATATCCAGTTTTATGTATACAATAAACCTTTCTTTAAGAATATAGAGAATGTTCTTTCCCAGTCAATCTATAATCATTTAATAGTGATGGATGCACTTTTGAATAGATATCAGGCATTAATTATGCTATTGGAAATTTCATAGAAACTTCTTCTGTTGTATATCCAAATATTTTAGTAAATTATTTATTCACTTTTATAATTATTGCATCTGGATCATCACTAGTCTATATAATACATGCTTTTTTATCGAAAACTATACGCTTGCTCTTTATATCTATTTTATCCATATCCACTTTTTATTCCTAATCAGATTTTATACTTGCTATATCTTCTTCTAAATTGTTTTCTTATAGTTCTTCTGAAAATATATCATTCTCATTCACTGATAATCCCTAAAAATTATCCAATATCTTATTCTTCAATTTCTTATTCTCTATATACAATGTAAACCAAGCATAATAAAACTTCCACTTCTTTTTAAAGTCAAGATAATTCTAAATTTATACCCATAAAAAATTAGTTTATTCAATTTTATCAAATTAATTTCTTAATAAATGATCTAGTTCTTCTAAATCGATAACTTCTTTCTAAAGACATTTCCAAAATACGCAATTTTAAATCATTATATTATTTATATTACTTTTTATTGTGTCTATCATATCTTCAATGTACAAAGCATTCTAAGTTTCTAACTTTTCTCGATAACTTGATTGATTTCTATGTTTAATATATTTCATTATCTATATTTTAAGCTAAAATATTTTATATCTATTAATAATGAATAGAAAACGTTTTTCTAAATCTGATAGAATATGTAATGAAACTTGATGATTTTAAAACTTAAAAAACATAAATCTGGCATAAAGTAGAAGTAATTCAACTGAATTTGGATTTTTATTCAATTTGATCTCGATCTATGATTTCATTAAGAATTTAACAAAAATATTCTTATGAATCAACCAATTATCTATATTTACTTCTTTTCGTTTTTTTGAATCAAAAATCTTTTTCTTCTTACAAAAACACCTACCTTCTCCTTAAATCACTGTATGTTTACATTCAACTTCCATATGTCTTTGTAAAATACCCTTAAAAAATAAATCAACATTGATATCTTAATTTGATACTTCTAAAAGTGTATTCATTATAAATATTTATTTATTTAATTCTTTGTCTCCTGCATTTTCAAAATTAATCTATTTATAATTTGAATTCCTCATGTTGAAATTAAAACAACAACAAAAAAATATAAAAGATACAGTAAAAAAAATACCAAAATTCTCAAATTATTGCATTACAGTATTATATCTATACAGCTCATCAACTATCATCGAAAAACTAGTTGAAACCATAATTGTTATTAGAATTTAAAATATATTTCTAACTGAAGTTGTAACAAATGCCATATATCCACTAAAAAATAGACAATCTAATAAAAAATAACTATAAGAAATAAAAATTAAGATCAGCATCACCCAAAGATATCCATAATCTGTTGAACTATAAAGATATTTTAAATATGAACTTGAAAGATAAGAGAAAGGCTTGGATCGTTCGGAATACTTAAAAAACTAGAATATAAAGAGAATTCTCAGTATTTAAACAATCTTTTTTTTAACTGCTATTATTATGAAAAAAAACACTTAAAAAACAATTGTTTAAAGTTCCAAAGAACACACTAAATCATAATTTATCTAATATACCCCATAACAGATAAAGATATTAAAATATCTCTTACTGATTTATTCATACAATCTATTGAAGGTCCACAAACAATATTTTCAAAAAATACTAACATAGCAGGATAATGTAATAACCACACATACCATTCAGATAATTGAACGAATTTCTACATAAAACTTATCAATTTACCTTTCCTAAAAATCTCTTACGAACTTTAAAGTCATCTCCTTAAAATAAAAAAAGAATCAAATAAATGATTGAATTCCCTATTGTTGCCAATAAAAACCCGGATAACATTATGTAATTTATTGTTATATCTAAACTTAATAGGCCTTAAATGTCGAAATAAGTACAAAAGTCGATAATTTCATCAAGGATCGTAGATTCGGTTTAATAATGAATGTTAATCAAATTCTTATATCTGAATATATGGGCTTTAATACTTTCTTATTAAACTCAAAAATTGATGAATAAATGCTATTATTAACATTAATGCTGTCTTTGTGAATGAAGCATTTTTTAACTTCAAAAGATCATTAAATAATTTGAAATGTTAATCCAAACCTTGTTTACTACGCTTTTTCTAAAGTTCCTTATCTTATTACTACAGGGTTGGCAATTCTCGTTCTTAATCCATCTAATTATTGAATATAAAAATTATGTTATAACATAATATTCAAATTAGATTATTCAATTAAATCAGAGAAAAATAAACTATACGTAATTGAATTTAATAAAATAATCCTGTCTGGAATATAAAATATCACTTCAATAAAGCTTGCGAGAAATTGATATATTCATTCTTATATAAGTTTTAACGATTGATAAATTGCAAACCTGAAAATTACTATTAACCAGTATTTAAATATTTGAATTTTTATGTTGCTCATCTTTTTTGTCATCAACAAAGCTTGCAAAATTAGCATTGTTCAGATTCTTATACTTTTAGACTGATTGTAAAATTTTTGCTTAATTTAATAATTTATCATATCAAATTGATTACTTATTTGCATAGATTTCATAAATATTTTAGCTTGATTTGATTACGTAATTTAAACTCTACAATTAAAATTCAACTTATCGTAGAAATGTTGCAATTTTTTAAAGATTTGAAATTTTTCAATCTTTTAATTGTTATGAATTCAATATTTAATGATTGTTTTGGAATTTTTATAAAATATTCTCTTTATTAAATGAGATGTTTTGGATTATCTTAAGCAAAAATTTTCTCGTAGTCTTGTAATTAGCATTTGGCCCTCAATAATATTTATTAAAATTACATTTTGAAATTAAAGAGATAGAAGAAAACAGCATTCCTTCAGTAAAATAAAATTATTTGTCATATTTACAAATAATGATTGTAAGTATGTATAAAACTGAAATTCAAAAAAATATTCTTTATAAAAATTATGCATTTTAATATATTTAAAAGAATAAAATTTCTGATTTTAGTGCATTTTAGTGCATTTTAATTTTTTTCGTTTATCATTTTTTTAATAATATAAAGTTAGTTTATATTTTTGATTCTTAACTAATGAAATGAGTAGATCTTGATAATAATTAAAATAATTGTGTAATAGTAAAACTAATAGGTAATTAATAGTTAATCAATTTTGATAAGCAGTGTAAATTAGTAAATGTATAGAATCGTTTAACTATGAAGATAAATCAAATAATAATAAATTAAATGAAATAATCAGTTTAAAGATACTCTGTAAAAATCCTATCTCACGAAATAATAGAAAAAAAAGTTTATTACATAATAAATGTTTATAATATTGCAGGTGGGGAACCGAAGGAGACAAGAAAACGATTTTCAGAAATAGAATCTATGCATCAAAAAATATTAGATTGGATAAATATTTTTAAAATACGAATTCAAAATCTCAATTTCCCAAAAAAAAAAATATTCTTTCATACTAATCAAAGTGAAGAAAGTATCTTGAAGCGTGTAAATTTTTTAATTATTAAAGAGAGGAGAACTTTAATCATATTTTAATTAAATATTAACATATTCTGAATTGCTGTGTTTGGATGTAGTCGAAGAAATGCTTCCAAAAGAAATATTGAGTTAGAAATAATTTGGATAAAATGTAGATAGAAGATGGTATGAGATTTAATAATTGAAAGAATAATATTTAGCTAAGCATAGTGATTCTATTTTTTCATTACCTTAAAAAAAGATTGGGAATTCTAATAATAAGTATTAAAGAAAATAAATATATTAATAGATAACAATATATTTTTAAATTTTAAGATCATAGTATAATAGATGATTGTATCCTATATACAATTGAAGTAAATGATACAATAACGAAGAAGAGATGGATGTTTGGTTAACGCTATTAGGATATAAGAGATTATCATAAGCAACTGAAAAATCTTCATTTTGATTTTCCTCTTCCTGATCTGCCTGAAAAAAGATCTGTAAGTTTAAAAGAAGTAGTTGATTTGTGGGAAAGGAAATCGTAATTGGAGTATTATTTAAATAGATTGTTTAGGTAAAATATTAGAAATGATTTAGTTATTAAATTATTGTTGAAAATGATGTAATGGTTTTTTTTATAGCTAAAAGTCAACTTGATGGAAATGAAATAGGTTGTAGGTCTTAAGGAAATTAAAAAAATATATTAGATGTATAGTCTTCATAATATATTATAGTATTCAAGTATTCAATCAAAAAGTCAAACTACTATAGAAAAGATTGATGATGAAAAAAGATAATCTAGGCAAATAGTTTGTTGAATAATTATATTAGATATAAAATTTACTTGATATTTTAAATAATTAATTAAAAAAATAAATTTATATTTTGAATTAAAAATAATTGTTTATGATCAAATTAAAAAATAAATAATTATCGGTACAAGCAGTTTTAGAGCATAAAATTCAAATAAAGTTCTTGTTGTCCCTTTGACCATGAGAGGTTTAGATGAAAATTATGAATTGGATTCTTAAACTATAAAGATAAAATAATCACTATCTTAAACAAGATTAGTAAACTTAATAGTTCCATCCTAAAAATAGAAAATTAAATTACAGATGAAGACGTGTAATGTTCAACAAGAATTCCTTAATAATTTTCTCCTCTAGAAATTTATTATCCAGTTGGGCTTATTATGATCTCTAGAATAAAATTAAATAGTAAACATTATGCATAATAATCGATTCTTGTGAAATTGGCTTTACGGTCAGATAATGGCTCACAAATTTATGAGAGATAATTAATGCTCAAAACCTTACAAGTGTAATCACTGGTATCAGGAACATAGGGATCAGATCTTAAAACATCTATAGTTTCAGTGGAATTATTAGTGTTATCATTATTACCAGTATCTGTATTAGTATCATTAGTAGTATCATCAGTTGTATCTGTAGAGTTATTAGTTGTTGTTGTATCTGTAGAATTATTAGTTGTATCTGTTGTAGAGTCGTTAGTGGTTGGAGTTGTAGAATCATTAGTTGTATCTGTTGTAGTAGTAGTTGTATCTGTTGTAGTAGTAGTTGAACCTGTAGGATCTTATAAAATTCTTCTGCTTCTCAATACTGAAGGATCTGATGCAAAATGGTTTACATAGATATATGAAGGATTTCTAAGGGCTATTGCATGAATCTTGCCTTAAAGTCCTGATATAGTCAAAGATGTATTAGAATCAGCAGAAACTAATGGAGTGGATGTTATTGTGAGAGAATCTAAATGAGGATCTGTATAGTTTGTTGTATTGAATTATAAAATTACAGGAGCCTCTGCTAAATTTCCAGAATAATCTTCAACAAAGGCCACAAATTAATATGCTGTTGCTACTTTTAATGAATCTACTAAAATTAAATACTCAAATGTTGGAGAATCATACACATATTCACCAAAAATAAAAGGATAGTTAAAGTAATCGTAGGGTAAAGTTTTATTTTTAATTTACTCGAATGTTATTTCTCGAATAAATGTAGGTACTATTGCAAAATAGATTGTACATGGCTCATTTGTAATTATACGAACTTAAACCAATTAATCCGCAGCAAGTACAATCTATTTAACAACAATAAACGGAATATTTATATCAGGATTTATTACACTAAAATTTCTTACTCTATTTGCAACTTAAAATGTAGACTTGTCATCTCCTGATATTATTGTCAACAATTATCCTATTGCTCCTTATGTATCCTTTCCACATGATACCCAAAATTAACCTGTTTTCTAACCATCACTAAGAGTTACTGTTTTTGGAAATACAGCTGAATATTTTGGTTAGTTATTTAGTAGATAAAATGAAAATATTATCGGTTTATATGATCCATATGACATCTCAACATTTTATACATCACTTCTCCCTCCGGCTGGAACTTCAAATATATCACTAACACTAATTGAAATATCTAAAATTTATAATTAATATTACTTTTATATCTTTATATCCATAAATAAATTGGACGAACTGGTATATAATCACTTACATCATGTGTAAATTTAATAACTACTCTCAAAACACTAATTGATGTATCTATACCTATTCGAAATTATCCAGTCTTATCACCAGCTTCTATTACCATAGGAGTAATTGTTAAGATTTCATTGAAAGCTTCATCAAATAATGGATTAATTTGCATAGTTTGTGTTGCTGCTTCAAAAGGTAATAAAGACAAGGTAATATTATTGGTATAAGTTCCAGCCTCAATATAATGATTAGGATCGTCATCGTCAATAATAATCAATTTACCTGCATGTTTGAAGTCAGGTGTTAGAGGTTGCATGAGGTTCCAATAGGTTTACATAATGATTTATTTAGTGTTGCCATCATAGAGGGATAAATCAGGATATCCTGGACAAATCCCTTCATCCAATGGATTAGGTAATTGTTTTACTACAATTTAAAAAGTTTTGGTTGTGTCAGCTGCAAAAGTAGTATCAAAACTAAAACTATTTCCAGAAGGTTGAACATCAAAAGAATTTGTATCCAAAGTAAGTTTCTTTTCACTCCAAAGAGCTGCAATTTAATATCCTTTTTAAAAATCAAGTTTTAACATGGTAGGAGATCCATTAATTTCAGGTAGTAATTGTAGAGTATAATCAGCATAATCTCTAGTGTTGGATGAAGTGATGAACAATTATTATAATTAAAGAATGGAAGCAGCAGAAGTGAATGAAAGTGCACCTAGATTAGAAACAAATTCCTAAGCATGAGTAGCATTAGACATAATGTATGCTCTAATACCTTACTTGATTTACTTATTATTACTAGTAATAATTTAATTAGGATTTCTAACTCCTTTGATGATGATAACAAATCCATCAGTATTAGGAGTATAAGCCTTTAAATTAGATAATGTGATTTGCCATGCAGAAACACTACATTGAATAGGGTCATTGGTTGCTTTACTAAGTAATGGGATATCACATCCTACACTTCCTCCTAATCCATAAGGGAACATTTATGGGAATTCTACAACAATAGTTGCAGTAGTCTTGATATCTAAGGAAGGTTTAAGAGTAATTTCAAAAGTTGCTTATACTCCTTCAGTAGTTGGATAAAATAGTAGGGAATATTGAGTGTTGTTCATAAACGTAGCTTATAACCCTGAGATTGCTTTTCTATTTGTTTCTGTTGTACCACTATCATCTAGTACAACAGCATCATAGAGAGTTTAGATAACAAGCACACCAGAGTTTTTGTCTTCATTGAAATTACGAACATTCAATATTTTAACAATTACTGGTTCCATTCCTGCTTCTATTCTTAATTCAGTATCTAATGTAATTGTAATTATCAATTTTTCACTATTAATTGTGCAATCTTCCATTGTTTTTAATGATCCACTGACATAACATCTAATGTCTGAATCATCAGTTATTGTATCCAGAAAAGAGTAAGGATAATCTTTAAGTGGTGTTATTGCGAGGTTAGGTATAAGAGTTGAAGGAACCCATTATGAAGTAGCTAAGAAATCTGATGGAAATGTTATAATGATTTAGCCCTTTTTGGGAATATTTCTAGTGGGATAGAAACTAATTTCATAAGTAGCTGGGAATATGGAATCTGGAGGAGATCCATTATCTGGATACATTCTAAAATAATTGAATATTATTTCTCCTATTGGTACTTATTAAATAATTGTCATGGCTGTCACATCTGTTGTAGAATCAATTAAATAATTCTCTTAAGTCAATGATGAAACTCCAAATAAATTTGTTAATCCAGCTTTTGGTGGATTCTTCACTCCGGTCATTTTTATACTGATCACTGTTCCTTTTTTATAAGGTTTGAATTGTTCAACTATAAATATGTTTACATTTGCACTGCCTTTAAATTTATCACTCTAAGGTTCTAATCCTTATTTGACATCTAAAATTATTTTTTTATCTGTTTTATCTGCTTCAGCATTGTCACCATGATCGTAAAAGTTTACAGCATAAATCAAATATATTTTACCACCTGCAGGTATATCATTATTAAATGAAAACAACCAATTATATTCTACATCAATCATATTTGCTTCGTATCTTCTAGATGTTACTTAAACTGATTTAGCAGATCCTGGACTAAAATTTGACAAATCTTAAAAGATCATCCTTTCCCATTATTATTTATCTTTTATTGTAATAATCTGAATAAATCCTATTGGATCAGCTGCATAGTATGGATTAATAAAATTCTTTAAGTAAAAAGTAACATCAAGAGCACTTGCTCCTGGAATATCTATCAAAGCAGTTGGAATAACAACTACCCAACCTACTTCTCTATATGCATAACAATTTAATTGAATCAGCAATCCCAAACTACATTAAACATTCTTATTAACTATATAAGCTTATGGATTTGTAGTAGGTAATTATGGAAATATAAATATTATGCCTTAGCTGGTATCGACTGCAGATTTTAAAGGTTTTGTAGATCCAGGTTCATATCTAATCTATATGCTTGACTACTCATTTATTATAGATGGTACAAATCTTGGAGATGTTTAAGATGGCAATCCACCAACTAAATTATCATTATATTTGTTCTTTACTACAATCCTAGGTAGAACTGCAGGAAATATTAAATTTACATCACTAGCCTCATTTTAATACATAATATATTATCTTCTATTCTTTTTCATTAAAATCTTTATTGTTACAGAAGCTGTGGATCTACATAAATCATCTACAGTAACCAAATAAGATTCACATTCAGGATTCTAAATGTTTGGTAAATGTAATTCAAATTAATCATTTTTTAATACTGCTCTGTAATGATGTACTTTCACTCTTGCAGGATCAGGAGTACTACTTGGTTTATTTAATGTACATTTTATTTCAGAATTTCCACTTAATGGTTGTAATTTAGAATAACCATAACAAGGAAATTCTGATTGATCTGTTAAACCTGTTCCTAAGTCAGTTAAAAATTAATAATTAGCAGGTGCTGGATGAAATGAATCTACACTCTAAAATTCAACCCAAATCTCTGAAGTCATAATACTATAATCAGATTGCCATTAAGAACTAGGAATATCATTTAATGCTGGAAACTTGAAATACACCAAAGTCTTTGTAGATTAATCTTATGATAATCTAAAAGATTATATCGATGTTAGTTTATAAGGAAGAACCTAAAAATAAACTGTCTTTCTTGAAACAACAACATTTAAATTGTTTAATAAATTCACACCTAAAACATATTCCCCTGGTGTTGCAGGATGTTTCACACCTACTATTGTTAACTAATTATCAATTGTTGATGAAAATGCTGTATTTCCAAAAGTGAATGTCACTATTGATCCACTATTTGAACAACTACCAGTATCAGTCACAGCTGCATCATTCACTGCTGTGCATGATAAACCACTAAATGAAAAATCTGAACTAAATATTAATTTTAATTTAAATGATGTTGCTGGAACTACACCATTTTTCCAATTCACAACCCAAGTAGCTGTTTATCCTGCTCTTTGATGATCTGCTGTAGGAAATGTTATATCAAATGTTCCAAATTATGCGAATGATTACAATGTCAATCCTGTTCCACCTGAAAATGTATCAACTAATTATAGTGAAGCTGAATCTTAATATGTCTTTATTTCTAAGTTTGATAAAGGACTGCTTCCTGGATTTGTGGCTTTGAATTATACAAATATTTATGTTTTTGGTTAAACTCTTTTAAAGTTAGAAATTGTAAATAGATTTCCTACTTGAATACAATTTACCTATATACTTTCACTTTAATCATACAATCCATCTGTTACATAACATGGTTCAAATAAACCTCCACTTAACCAATTAATTTATATTTAACCTGTTGTTTCAACTGCATTTACTAAGGAAAATTATATTTGATATATTGTGACATCATTTATTGATATTACTTCTGTTTATCCATTTAATGTACTATGAGCAGATACTTTCACATCTGTTAATACTCCAGGAGTAATTGATGGTAAATTTACTCCCTTCTTTTAATTCAATATTGTATTTGTATTATTTGTCCACGTTCTTAATGTGAACTATCCTGGAATACCAGAATATTTTGGATTTATTATTCCCGATATCTCAAAATCAAATGATCCAACAGCCTAATCATCTTCAAAACCTATTATTGAAAAAATCATCCCATCTCTCGTGATATTACCTTTTAAAGTTGTTGTGCTTGAGTAATGACTTTATGATATTGCCAAAATTGATTGAGATAAATCTAAACTCAATCTCCCTTCTTTTGGTATTATAATATTTGTTAAAAATGTAAACGTCACTTTATTTATTAAGTTTACTCCAGAAGCAGAGTATAATGTAATTATTGAAGTTAAATCAACTGCTGCCTTTGCTATTCCAACTTTTCCAAATGCATAATTAAAATCAATTAAATTTACATCCTTCTTATAAACATTATTTCTACGAGTTTCTAATTTAAAGTTCCCTGTTCCTCCATATAAAGGATTAGGAATTGATGGTATTGTTACTTTGTAATTACCTGCTTTAACATCAGGTAGGCCTATTTTAAAAACTGAAGGGGAATGATCTCCTGCATTATAAGGTATATACAAACAACTACTTCCAGAGAGTATATACCATTTAAGTAAATCAGGGTTCCATTTCTAAAGAGTAATTTTATAGTCCGTATTAACTGTTGGGAAACCAGTATATTAACTGGGAAATTTAATAAGTAATTAATCACCTTTGAACATATCAGTCTCTGTAGTAAATGTAAAGGTATAATCTGAAATTTCTAATTGATTATTAACTGATGGTTCAATTGGCTTTCTAAGATAAGGTGAGATTTCCCCACTTCTTACTAGAAAAAGTAAATAAAATAAAATCATATTATTATATATATTATTTGTTTAGATTTAGACAACTATTTACTAAATTCTTATTTTTTATAATTATTCTAATCATTATTAGTTAGAAAATTTGGTTCTGTCATCTTCATATTTGAAGAAATCCATTTCTTATAATTTAAAAATAACATATATCATACAGCAATAGTTTAGTACACTATAAGTCTAAATTGGTTCTATTATTATTAGAATTTTTAATCAGACAAAATAATATTTGCTAGAATAAAAATTGTGCGTCCTTTTCAATAAATCTTTTAGTTAGCTTAAAATTATAGAAATTTTTGTTGAATTTTTTATAATCTTATTATAATCTATTTAAAAAGTTGATTTCAAAATTCAGGTTTATTATTTGATGCATTATCTAATATAACATTTTCTAAATTAAAGAATTCTTTTTAATATATTCATTTCCTAAACTGTTCTTTTTTTGATTGTATTTAGCAAAAGTTTTAAAAGGAGAAATGTTTTTTTTTTTTCTTTATTACTATACTTTATAAATAAACTAGCTCTCTCTAATTTAGATTATTTTTAGAAGGTAAAATTTATTTTAATTCTGAAATTATTGCTTAGGATAAAAGCAATTAGTTTCAAAATCATTTAAAATTTTATTAAAAATAAAATCTGAAATCATAACATCTCCTTTATACATAATTATGCTGTAGTATTTTCTTATAATACATTGCTTTATATCCTTTAATTATTTGATAAAAAAGAATAATTATAGCTTTTCTTCTTGACAAATATTTCAATTTTTTTGATGAGGAAATTTTTTTAGGAATATAAAGGGATTCAAATTTTCTATTTTGAATTTTCTCTCTAGATATAAATGCTATTTAAATTTCTTTAAAATTACTGAGCTGGAATATTGCAATTAATGCTTAAGTTAATATTTAAAGAAACATAATTTAGTAATTATCATTCCTTTTATATTGATAATTTAAAGTTCTAATATCTCTTATGATTTTAGTTCTCAAATAAGTTTTTCAAATATACCCTTTTAGCAGATATTATGTATAATAAAACATAAAAGATGAATTAATTGATTGAATAGAATATATCTTTGTTTTTTATAAATGAAATATTATAATTTAATAATTATAAAAAAGAATCATAAAAAAAGATAGTTAAAATGTTTGTTAAAATAAGATAATTGCATAGGCAACAAATATTACAAAGAACTTGAGTGTTTAATTTAAATTTTAGTGTATAGTAATTCAGAATAATCTAATTTTTAAGATCATAAGTAAATAGTTTATATAAGCTTAAGATGATATGTTTGAAACTTTTAAGCTTTTGGATGTAGTAACCATTTTGATTTATTGATTTATTTTATGTAAAAAAAAACGGATTTATATTAGTTATTAATTAAATTACCATGAAGATGGTCATCTTGATTCTGATTTTAACAATATTGAATACATAGGCTTAAACATCATTAAGAGGCAAGAATAAAATTGGTATGAGTGGCCTTTATTAAGACTAGAGTAGAACGAGGAATAATCGTTTTTGCCGAATGATTATGTATCAGAACTAAAAGAATACTCATTGTTTGTTCAATTAACAAAGCCTTTCTATGAGACTGCACCTATGGATGTTATGCTACTTAATCATGAGATGGAAATAGCTCGAATGATGGGTAATTCTGGAGTAACAATGATGAATTATGTGCTTGAAGAGTCACCTTTCCGTCCTGCTTGGTGAGAAAATTAAATGGCATTATGTGATGATTCCTATTCATTATGGAATTAACAACCTAAAATTACCACATTTATTATTTGCATACATAAAAAGTTCATATCTAGTAATATATCTCAGCTGAACATAGAATCAAAGAAAGGAATGATGTTCAATTGAAAATAAGTAGAGATCTTTTTACATTAGTATTTCTTCGTATCCTAAAATTAATAACGCAATTCAATTTAATTATTCATTTATCTTGTTCATTAACAATAAAGACACAAAATTATCAATTACTTATTATTTAATAACAATAGTTAACCTAAAATATATATGTTATTGTAATTAGCCAATAAGCTATTATGGTAATTCATTTTCTTATAAAATCACTTATTCTATCATTCAATAATTGATATTAATTTCATGACTAAGATCAGTTATCTAAATCTGATCAACAACAATAATTATATGACAATTTCTATGTGAATATATCTATTTCTAGTTAATTATAAAAAATGAATTAAAATTATATTGACCAAGCCTTTTAGACTAAGGTTTCAAATTCAATTTATATTCATAGCAATTCTATAGAGCATTTGGTAATTATTTTGGACCTCATACTTCAACACCAAGTATGGCATCAGAATATTTATCATCAACAAGAACTTAGACATCTAACTTGAACAAATAAAATAGTTTAAGCAAACGAATTACAACCCCTTAAAATGTTAGCAAGCCAATAAATTTAAATTCTTGTAGAGTAAAAACATAGACTCAACATATTTATAAATAACAGCCAATAGTCCATCATATTAAAAGTTTATCATCAGACTTAAAGAATCAAACTTAATAAAAAAGATTCAAACAAGAGAAAATAATATTGTATACTGAACCAGAGTAACATCCTTTTTTAATCATATAAAAAAAAGCAAAAGAATTACGAAAAATTGAATCTCGAAAAAGTACTTTACCTTCAATATAAACGGAATCTTAACATAGTGCAAGACTTCCAGAAATATCTTAAACAATTCAAATTCCAATAATACAAATAACAGAACCTTTAGAGCAACATTCATCTAAAGCTTAAGAAAATGAATCTGAAAAAGATTACGAATCTATTGAAGAAGATGATAATTTTATAGGATAAAAAACAATGAAGAAACTCTCTGTTAGATTGAAGTTTAAAAATGCTGTATAAACTTAAGTTTCTACACTTTTTATCAACAAATAAGTAAATATATATGTAATTTATATTTCAGCCAAAGTCACTCTTTAATGTTATAATTTCACCTGAATTCACATTAAAGCATGAAGAAGAACGATAAAAAATTAGTGATGCTTTTGAAGCAGGCAATTTTATATTATATAAAATTAAGTAATTCGAATAAAAACGTGTAACCTAAAAAAAAAAGTTATTTAAATCAATATTCAATATAAAACATCCTCATAAAATGAATAATATTGTCAGTTCATAAATTGCTAAACTTAATACTACCAATAAAGCATTTCAAAGAAAAATTAAAATGATTCTTACTACAACAGAAAATAGCAAAGAAATTGAATAACCATAATAATTTTCATTATTATCTAAATTTAAGAAAAGCCAATTTAGTTAATAAGGAAGTAATGAACATTTTCCTTAACCTATAAACTTAAATAAAGATTAATTTACTATTACTATTACTAATGATAAATTAGAGAATGAAATTTACCTATTTAAAAGGCCTAAATTTTCTATTTAAATAGATTAGGTTATTGAAGAAGTTCAAATTTCATAGACTCTATCTAAATAAGCTAATTCTCCTGGAAGAAGAATTTTAAAGCATTCAGGATCAATGCATCAATCATAAAAACATATTAATTTAAGGCATTCAGTCTCATAATAAATAATTAAAGAAGAATTTTAGAATTTTTCCATTGTATCCTATGTTGAAGAAAATAACAACCTAGATTTTAATCAAGAATTCCCTAAAGTACAATTATTATTGTTTATTCAAGTCTAATTTATATGTCAGACTTTACTATTAAAGTAGATTACATAAATTACCAAGAAAAACTACTTTCGTTGGGATGAATCTCTAAGAGATTTAAGATTATTTTACTTCTTAGTAACATTTGATTAAATTGACACATATGTATTTACTCAATATAACTAGAAATTTTTAAGCCACTGAGATACCTGGATTAGAATAAATTGGTCCAACATTTGAATAAAATTTAGATATTCCGAAATTCATAGTTTATGAACATAAATTAAATTTAAGCTTTAATTTTGGTTAAAGTGAAACCTTTTCATCAAGTGAATCTGACTAGAGTTAGTCTTTGGATTTACTTTTAGAAGAACCAATTCAAAGTTTAATTTTAAATAAATTTAGGCTAGGATTATAATAAGAAGAACATGAAAGTAAGATGATAAATATTATTAAATCACTTAAAAATTTAGATTAAGAAAAAGATGAGACAATATTTATAGAGGATGATTTCAAAAATATTAAATGTAATTATTCATTTTTATTAATTAATAAGCTATATCAACTGGATAATTGACATTAATTAAAAAAGCTAAAAATCATTTTTTGCAACCAATTGAGTTCAGATGCATCATTAATACACTAGATTAAAATACTAAAAATTAATTATTAACTTTCCCATAATAAGCCAGACCTATTAATGAGATATTGGATTCAATCTGTTGTGATAATGATGTTTGGGCTTTTAAATAGCTTGAAAAATATAATAATAAGGCAATCTTAAAACAAAGAATTTTATATTAATTGGATATGAGATATGAAGCAATAATTATTGGAAGATATTAAGATAAAGAACAGGTTATTGATATTGAACATTAAGATTTAATAGAAACCTTATAAAATCTCCCTGAAATACCAAGATTAAAGAAAATGGAAAATTTATCAAAAACTAAAAATTCAAAATAGCAATAACAATAATAACATTAATAAATTACAAGTTTATAGTCTACAAAAGCAGAATAATAAATAAGATAAATAGAAAGTGTAAAAAAAAACTAAAATGATAAAAAATAACTTAAGAAAAACTAAACATAGACAATTGTTTAACCAAATTTAAAATCTAAATAAACTAGTAATTCCCCCGATTAAACCAATTCAAAATTAACAATGTAATATTCTAATTAATAGACTAACTAATAAACTCAAAATAATAATATTATAACTCAATCAACAACACAATATTTAACAAAACCAACTAATTAATCTTAACAATCTGTAAATGTTTCAGGAACGAAAATAATTTAAAAAAGTAAATCAAATGCAGATTTAAGTGAAACATCATCAATAAAATCTTCGAATAGTTAATTAGAAATTAGATCATAAAAAATTTTAGATGTAGAAAATTAAAAGCACTAATAAAAAATATAATAATAGCATGAAATACAAAATGAAAAAAAAACAAAGCATCATAAGACTAAATCAGATCATATAATAAATAAAATCTATGAATAAAAAGTATATATTAAAACATAAGCAATTATTTAGATTTAAAGTATGTAATAGCATTCACTAAGAATGAGAAGCCATGCAGAGGAATAAACAAGAAGGTAAAAATATGATCAAAAATACTAAGTAAAGTTTTCAATTGAAGATAATAATTTTTAAGAAGTAAATGAATAATCTAATACATAAATAGTTTATGGAAAACTTCATGTAATTACCTGAGATGTATATTGATTATAGATTTTCAAATAATGAAACCTTCCTTACTTTAGCAACACAGAGTGGAAATAAGGATATTGTAAAAGAATTAATAAAAAGAGGAGCGGATATTAACATATAAAATGTATTTTTTTACTAAAAAAGGATGATGGGAACACTCCCTTACATTTGGCTTTAGCATATTCTCATTATAATATAGCTGACATGCTTATGTTTTCCGGAGCATCTTCTCATATTTTAAATAAGTAAGGTAAGAATGCGTGGAATGTAATATGATAAATTTATGTATCTACTAATAATTTTGAATCTATATTAAAATTACCATAGTAAATCTTTTCTGTATTAATTGTGAAACTTGATTTTTATTAAAAATAATATTGTTAACTTAATGAATAAAGGAGCTGAGAAGAAGAGAACTTCTTCATTCAATAAATAAACAATGAATTAGATATATGATAGATATGATACATAACAAAAACAATTTTATTGTCCAAAATAAAAAAAAGATGTCAAAAATCTAATAAACAATCTCAAATAAAAATCATCTTATGAGAATACCTCACTTATGATTCCTTAAAATGTATCTTTCAAAAATGTCTTAATTTATCTTAATAATAAATCTCCTAAAAAATAAATGAAAAAGTAAATCAAAAAGACTCCTAGTACATCTTTGCATACGCCAGCAGACTTTACAATAAGAAATATTGAGTAGTAATCTGAGTTAGTAAAATAATAGTAATCTGTATTACATTAATAATCTCAATAAACATCATATCGGTCCTTATTATAACACAACAAACGTAATTAATGGTTAGATTTAATTAATTAGAAAAGTTCTAATTTTATTTAATAGGATTAAATAGCAATAACAGAATATAGGTATAAAAATATTCTAAGTTAGAGCATATTAAGATATATAATTGACAAATAATTGTGATTGGAAATATCCATATACCGAATATAAGGAATAAAGATATCATAAAGAAATGTAAAATATTGAAAACCTGGAATTTTAAAGTTGGAAGGAATTGACGATTACTCGATTGATTTTGCGTTAAGCATAATGAATGATTTTATAGTTAAATTTTGGGGAAAACATTTTATTGAATATTTTTTAAAGAATTTTTTTTCTGATTAGATGTGATTTATAATATTTCACAAATCCCAAAAATTTTAAATAAAATTTAAATATCATTAAATGTCTGACGACGAAAATCAATTTGAGTAAGGAAATGCAGGATCATCTCATACATATACTGAAAGTGCTGGTTCATTAAAGAAAGGAGGTTATGTTATGCTTAAGGGACATCCTTGCAAAATTACTGATGTATCAACATCTAAAGCAGGAAAACATGGTCATGCTAAAGTAATTAATTAAATTAATAAATTAGGCTTCAATAGTAGGAAAGGATATTTTCACAAATAAAACTTATGAAGATTCAGCTCCAACTTCTCATAATGTGGATGTTCCTTTTGTTACTAAAAAGGAATACACTTTAATGGATATTCAAGATGATGGATTTGTCATTCTTATGAATGATGATGGATCAACTAAAGAAGATCTTAAATTACCAGAAACTGAAGATGACTTTAATTTGGTTAAAGAAATCAAAGATATGTTTGGTGGTAACAAGTAAATTGAATAATTAATTTCTAAGAGACTTATTAATTTCAGTTCTTTCTGCTATGGGAGAAGAAAAAATAGTTGGAGTTAGAGAAGCATAAGATAAATGATTCATATTAAATATATAGTAAATATTTAATTGTAAATATATTATCATTCATTTGCTACATCTTTAAAAAACGGATGCTTTAAAGCATCATTAGCGCTAATTCTTTTCTCGGGATTGTATTGTAACATTAAACTAAAATATTAGATATATATTACTTAAGAAGATCCAAAAAGTTATCCAAATCCTTCAATTAACTAAATTTCTCTTTCAGATTTTATTTTTTATACTTTTACAATTCTTTGAAAAATATTTTATGATCAAATGGTACTTTATTTGCAAAATAATCAATCTCACTTTAATTAAAACTTCCCATCACTTTTAATATTGCAAATAATTAGTCTCCTTCACTTTTTCCTTTAAAAAGAGCTTCTTTTATTACTAACTCTCCCATTATACAACCCAAAGCCCAAATATCAATAGACACATCATATTTTGTTACACATAAAATTAATTCAGGTGCACGATAATATCTTGATACAATATATGGAGTATTTTAACCATGTGAATTTATCATCTTAGAACTTCCAAAATCACATAATTTAACTATTTCCTTCTCATTTATTAAAATATTTTCTCTAATTTATATTAACAAATAAATTTACGGCTTTAAATCTCTATGAGCTATTCCTTTTTTATGGATAAACTATAATCCTTTTAAAATTTGATAAATATATGACTTGATGGTCAATTCAGAGAAGATTTTACCTTATTTTACATATGTTTATATTCTATTCTCGAGATTATCCTCCATATATTCAAACACAATATTTTGAATTAATTTACCCGCATCTGTTCTCGAATAAAAAAAATCCTATTTTAACTAAATAATTTACAAGTATTTTAACTATATGATCACATTCTTTAATTTCAAATAGTATCTCGTATTCTCTGCTTAACAGATTTCCAACTTTCTCAATTCTTTTCAAAGCAACTTTTTATTTTGTGTTATGATCATATGCTTCAAAGACATATCCTTTGAATATTTTTATTTCTTACCAAAAGTGCCTGAACCAGCTACTTTTATAATTTCTATTGATGGAAATTTTGACAAAGACATACTCATTAATTAAATTTTTATAATTCTATTTTATATCATAGAAAACATATATTTATTGAAACATTTTTCTATTCTAAAAAATTTACTATTTTTTTCAGAAACCCAAAATCCCAAAAAAATTGATTAAAGTTTAAACTAAGCAATATAAATAACGATTTATAATTTATGAAATATTTGAAAAAGTTTATCATTTCTATTTAATAAAAAAATTTAAGTTTTTTTTTATATCATTCAAAATTTTTATAATATATAAATTTTTTAATAGTATTATTTTTATTTCATCAAGATTTTTATATGTTTTCTTTTTTAAAATCAATTTTTCTAATTTAGTCTTAAACTTATAAAATCTTTCTTATGGATCAATTTTAATTCTTTATTTTTTCATAATTTCTTATCAAAAATATTTTATGAAACATTATTTCATGAAATAAATCTTAAAAATAATGGAATCGGTACTTCAAAACAAATCTTTTACACAAAGAATTAGAAAATATATTAAACTAAAGTAAAATGATGAGAAAATTAGTATTAATTTATATTCATAAAGCTAATCTTCGTTAAAAACAGTCTTTTAAAAAAAATCTTGGGAATTTAAGCTTTTTTTAAAAAGTTGTATTTTAATAATTTTTTAATAATTTTTGGACTTATGGGATGCTCAATATAAAAGGGAAAATGTAAGCATAGAGATACTTTTGATTAAATAGAATAATTGATTAAATCAGAGTGTTTAGGTAATGAATAGAGATTTATGATAAACAAAAATCCTATAGTAAAAAGAAGAATATTTAGTAAGGAATAAAAAAATTTTTAAGAATCATTACAAATATGAATGAATGAAATAATATAATGTTTATCTTTCTTTAACATTTATTTTTTCTTAAGAATAACATTATCTAAAGATTATCAGTATTTAATGAATAAAGGAATTCTTAAGAATTTTATTATTTTTTTAATATTACTCATTCTAGATTGAGTACCCATTCTTTAAAGGAATTATCTCCTCCACTTGTGATAACTTTATTATCTTAAGTGATAACAGCTGTTAAAACTCCTCTTTTATGAGCATCTAAATTGAGAATAAAATTTACCAATTTTTTCAAGAACTCTTTAACCATCTTAGAGATTCCAAACCATAATTTTATTGTCATATCCTGTTGAAACTGCAAATTTACCAGAAGTAGAAAAACTTAAAGATGATATAATAGTGGTGTGATGTGTCCATCGATCTCCAAATAATACTTGGTTTTATTTATAATCAATAAGTTTAATTTTACCAGTTGTATCACCACATAAGAATTTATCTCCTTATAATGCCATGGCTGTTATTTTAGTTTATTATAATTAGAAGGTTAATTCTTCTACACCACTTTCAATATTTACAGCATGAATTTTTCCTTTATGATCACCAACTAAAAATACTGAATCAGTCAATAAAAAACTACTAACTTCATAACCTAATTAATATTCTCTAGTAAGTTCTAAATTTGTAAATTCTAATATGAGTCCATTTTCCATTAATAAATAGCATATATTAGGATTAGATTAACTAGCTTAAAGTTTAAGAGTTAAACCTTTGCAATCTGTTGATTTTTCAATAGTATTAGTTTCTAAATTAGTTAATTTGATTTATTCTCCTCCTAATGAATACAATAAATTTTATGAAATGGAAAGTGATATGATTTATTTCCTGTGATGCACTCCTGAAGGCCTAATGGAATTGAGATTATCCCAAATTACTATATAAATAAATAAATAAATTACATAATCTTCCATTATTATCACCAGTAATAAGTTTATTTCCATAAACAATAATTTACCCAACAGGAGCATTGTGACCAAATAATCTTTATGTTGGTGCTTCTTCTAAATTAATAGGATCCTTCCAAACATTTAAGACACCTGTTAATGATATAGAGTAGGCTACATTTCCACTTACTGTGATTCCTACTTACATATCATCAATTTCTTATGCATTAGAAATTTTAAGAGTTTTTAGTAATCCGTCGAAATTCCATACTTTTAATGTTGTATCATTTGATGATGTTATAAATGTTGTATCATTAATCCAACTCACTCCTGTAATACTTCTAGTATGAGGATTATCTGTAGTAATCTCTTTTATAACTTCTCCAGTCTTTCCTTCATATAAAAATACTTTCTTATCAGCTCCTACTGAAATAAAGTGATCACCATTTTTATTATATTTAATTGAAAAAATGCTATTATTATGTTATTTAATTGATTTCTTAAACTTAAATGGAGGACCTTCAAACCAACATATAGAACTTTCATCTCCACCTAAAGCCAATCTAAACGGCCTTTAAGGTTTCATTGCACAAGCATTTAAAGTTTAAGCAACACCACTAATTTCTCCTACACTACTTCCAGTCTCTAATAGTATTGTTCTCCCAAAATAAGTTTTACCTTCTCCAACTATTGCTAATCTCTCACCATCACCTGTCCAACAAATATCTTTTATTGGTCCTCCCAATACATCATCATATTACTTAAATACTGGATGAGGCTAAACTATCTTCATTTATTTACCTGAATGTTTAATTCCCAAACTATTATAGATCCTTTTGCATCTCCAGAACAACATAAATTGCCACTTGGTGAAATTGCAACTGCTGTTGTATCGAATTTGTGTTAATCAAATACAGAATATTTTGATAGATCATCTAATTGCCTTACAATAACACTATTTGAAATGCAATAAACTAGATATTTTGAACTTGAATCAATTCTTGATGGTCTTCCTCTCTCTGTTCCAGCTGTAGGTGGATACTTAACTTAGCATATAATTTATTCCATTTAAAATAATTAATAAAATTCTTATTTCTTTTTGACTTTGTTGTTCGGTTCATACTCTCATATAATTCAATCAAATTTCACTTAATACTTTTATATTTATAAATTATTATTATTGCTTCTATTTTAAATAAACTCAAATAAATTACTTATTATGAGTTTTGTATTCTTAAAAACTTATTTATTTTTCTTATTATTTCCTACTAATGTAATTTCTTTATATTATTTTTCCTTCAAATGTAATTTCTTTATATTATTTTAAATTATTTCAAAAAGGGAACCATCCATATTTTCTATATGAGATTTTAAGATTACTTTGAAAGCAAAAACTTATCTATAGCATTTTTTTTAAATTATCATTTATGACTGAACAATAAAATGCTTATTGTTAAATAAAAAATTAAAGAGTAGAGTATCAAAAAATGAATAAAAAAATGTAAATTAAAAAATTTGTTTCTTTATTAACGCTTTTATAATTCTTATCTTTATAGATTATAAAAATAAGGTAGTTATCTTGGCTTAATATGAGCTTAAGATTGAATTTTCAAGAAGAGAAAAAAATAATTCTGGAATCTATTTGTTAAAACTTTGATTATTTTCTTATTGAATTTAGATTAGTCATTAATTAAAACATGAGTTTAGAGAATGCTATTGTATAGTGGCTAAACAAATATTAATAATTAAATATTTAGTCTTTTGATAGTTTGGCTGATGGTAAATATATATATTTTAGTAAGGTTGTGCTTTTAGTTAGTTGTTGAATTTAGTTGATCCTACATTCTTTTCTTTAGCAAGTGCAAAAAGCCTAAAAATTGATGCTGATGTTTAAAAAGTTCAAGGTCATTTGATTGAAATGCTACAAAAAGTTTAATAATATCGAACCAATATTTAATGCAAACCACCTGATTATATAGAGATTGATGTTTTTGAAATCACGGTAAAATAAAATAGGCAATAAATTTTGGCATTATTTGAATTAATTCTGAAAGTTATCCTTTCTTCAAATATTAGAGGAAAATTTATTGAGCCTATTTTATTATTATAAGAAAAGGATTAAGAAACATTAATGCATTTTCTTAAAAATCATTTAGATGAAGTAATATAAAAAAATATAAATTAAAGTCAGAAAATTAGCCTAATGAATGGCAAGAGGAAAACTATATTCAGAGTTTAGTCTAAAAGATGGATGAAATTGAATATTAAAATACAGAGCTTAAATAATAGCTAAATGAATAAGAAGAAAAAAAAAAGTCTTTAAAAAGTGCTCTAGATGATGCATTAGTCTAATTGGAAAATAAAGATATGGAAATCAAAGCATTGACAGAATCTAAATGTCATTTAGAAAAATGTACAAAAATCTTTTTTTTATTTTAAGGTTTGGAAGAAAAAATGGATTTTTAACATGAGTATAAAGAGAGTGAAAAAATTCATTAAAAATGTTTAGAACAAGAACACAAGTTGGCATAATATGAATTATAAATTGAAGATTTAAAAAGGAAAGAAATTTAATTTATTTAACTAAAAGAAGAATATTAACAATATAAATAGAAATTATAAGAAAATGAAAAGTTAGAATAGAAAATTGAAAGTGTAAGAATATATAAATATAATTAGCTACAAGAAAGAAGAGAATTAGACAAAGATGTTTATTAAAAAGGAAAAGAGAGATATGAAAAAGAAATAGCAATATTAAAACAGAATATGAAAGAATTATTATTATAATAATCTGAGTTAAAGGAATCTAAATTAAATTTAGAATTAGAATTACAGTCAAAATAGGCAAGGTATGCAAGATCATAAGAACAAATTAAGACAATGGAAACAGAATATGGATAGAAAATCAGAGAGCTTTAAGATTTGCTTGAAACTTTACATTAGGCTGAGGAAGAAATGCCTAAAATTATAAGTGCTACTGATAAGTAATTGTCTTAAGAAATGAAACTATCAACTAATATGAAAACTGAAAATTTTGAAAGAGAGTATTACATAAAAGAAAATCATAAATTAGAAGACAAAATAAAAGAGCTATAAGCTAAAATTAATGAAATGCAAATGGAAGAAGAAAGTAAGAATTAGAAAAGCAAATTCGAATCTTAGCTTTAATAGTCCTAATAGATTTCATTATTAACAGATAAAATTAAATAATTTTAAGAGCATAACTAATAATTAAAAAAACAGAATGAAGAGCTGAAAAAGTAAACTTAAATCAAAAAAGTCACATAAATTGATTATGAAATAAGTGTACTTTCTTTATTGTCAGAAGCTTTATCTAAAAAAGTGAAAGAGTTTAAAGTTTAAGAAAGAGATATGTGATTAATATATATCAATAATTCATAAATTAAGTGATAATGTAATTTTTAATGAGAAAATAATTACTGAAAAACTTATAATGTATATTTAAAAATTAATAATAAAAAGAAAAAGATGGGAGCAGCATGTTATAATTGCCATTAAAATTCTTAAGGAGAATAAGAAATATAACTAAAACCAACCTAAAAGATCCCATCTAAGCAAACTATAATTAGTAATAATGGTGTGTAATATTAAATTTAATTAAGATTCAATACCCCTGAATTTATAAGATGAAGAGCTTGTCAAAAATGCATCTGTAATAACAAAATTCCATAAAATGTAAATGAAGAATATGGGTTATTATGAAGGAGAGTGGTTGAATGGAATGAGGCATGGATAAGGAATTTATGTATGAGAAAATTTAAACTATAGACTTGGAGTGATAATACAGTTTATACAGGTTAATTTTAAAATGATTTAATGCATGGTAAAGGTTAAATTATCCATCCTAATGGAGATATTTATGAAGGTGATTGGGCTAATGATTTAGCAAATGGTTTCGGAATTTTTAAATAGAGTAATCTAAGTACATACACTGGATAATGGAAAGATGATCTTTAACATGGTGAAGGAATAGAAGAATGGCCTTAATAAATTAAATATGAAGTTTTTTAATTAAGTATTATTAGATATATAGGGTTAATATGTAAAAGGAAAAAAACATGGAAGAGGGAAAATTGTTTTCGAAGATGGTAGCCGTTATGATGGAGAATTTATTAATAATCAGGCATGTGGTAATGGAGAATTTTATTGGCAAGAAGGAAAATATTATAAGGGATAATGGAAAGATAATTAAATGAATGGTAAATATTATTTATAATTATTTTGTAGGAAAAGGAGAAATGTTTTGGCCTGATGGCAAGCATTATGTAGGTGATTATGAAAATGATAAAAAACACGGACAAGGATAGTTTACATGGGAAAATGGAAAAGTGTATATTGGTGGATGGTATTAAGGTAAACAACACGGTAAAGGTTATATTATTGAAGAGGGTATCAAAAGAGAGTGCATTTTTGAAAATGGTAGGTTAGTGAATAATAATTGATATAATAGCTGTCACTATAATAAATTTTCTAATTCTTACATCCTTTGAAAGATATCTCTCATATTTTTTAAAGTAAATTTTTTGTATAAATTAATAATCTAATTTTTTTTTTTATCTTTTTAGATGAGAGGTTTTAAGTCTTTCTCATCAATGTCTACTATTATTCTCTATGATATAATTGCTTATGCCAAAATTGATCTTAATTTTATTATAAAAAGTTAAGAGAATTAAAAAATTCTGTTATTTAATAATTTCTCTGGTTTTAATTTCACTCATTTTAGTTAGATGCTCTTTCTCTTAATGCATTTACAATTTTTTTGAAAAAAAAACATAATATTTCTTATTTTATGTTATAATTTATAATTATATTTCTTATTCTAAGTTTTAACTTTTTTAACAATCTATCTAATATTTCTCAATTATCAATCATTTTTTAGATCATCATCTTTCTTTGCAAATCCAAATTTTATTAATTATTCTTTTATTTTTTTAAATGTGTTATGTCAAGGTCCACATTAATTTTTTAATTGTGAATTTTTTTGTCACATATTATTTTACACGGTCAACTTATATAGATTTGGTAATCTAAGACTTACGTATTGAATTTAAACTATATTAGAAGTCCCTTCTTTTGTACTAATAAATGTTAAATTTCTAATAATTTTTGAATAAACAAGTACTTTTAATTTTAAATTCCAACAGATAATGATTAATGAATGATTCTTATATTTTCAATGACAAATATATTTTTAAAATATACAGCGCAAATTATTGGAAAAGTATAATTAAAAAAGAAAGAATATTCTTGAACTGCTGATAAAAATAGAGTTTTTAAAAAAAAAATATATAATTATTTTTGAATATTTCCAATTCCAACAAAAAATCAAAAAGTGTCACTCTTTAAAACTAGGTGATATAAAAATCTAAAGAAGAATTATCAATAATTTTTACTTATCTTAGCATAAAATAAATGATTAAATTACTTCTATAACTATTTAATAAAAAAAATTATGGAAAGCAAACAAATTTTTAGAAAAGTTTGAATTAAGTTTTTTTTAATTAAAAAAAATATCACTTGATACTCTTTTAAAAAGGCGTGCTTATCATTAAATAAAAATATATTTAAGAGCTTAAAGCTATTAACAAATTAATTTATTTTATATTAATAATTAAGAA